ATATGTATATGTATATAGATTTTACTTGTAAAAATAATTTCTCAATATTTTAAGGTAGAGTAATAAAATTGTGGAACTAAATTTTTAAGCAAACCAATTCTGTAAACCGAAAATATTCTGTAAATTTGTTTCAATTTAAATTTTTGCAATCCAGGAATGTAATTGAACATTTTTTAAATAAATCCCGATATTAAGCATGCGCTTAAAAATTAACTGCCCTTATTTAAGGTACTGCACTTCTTACTGCTAATGCCATAAGAACGATCCAGTACACTAAAAAGCTGGCATAATAAAATATCATCTTTAGTTTTAAAAATTGTGGCTTAGTCATTTATGACCAATAAATTTTTTATAACAGAATCAATCAATACCAGAATAATTAAAAAGTACTAAAAATATATTTCAATTCGTTGAAGAATTTCCAAATTCATAAAACAAAGAAAAATTTTACATTTAATTCTTTAGGGAATCTACACATATACAAATATATACAAGTACATATAGATACGTTAAACATTAATTAATATTCAATTCATGTATAAATTTTGTACAAATAAAAAAAATTAAAATTTGAAATTTTATATTATTTTTTTTTCGGTAACTAGCTATGTAACGTACTTAAGTATTTAATCGATATGTTTTTTTTATTTACAAGAAATAATAAGAGACATAAATCTGAACACCTCGTACGAATGAATACAATAAATTTTTTTATTGCAATAAATTTTGTTTTCTTATACTTTATTAACATCACACACACTTACACATAGTTACATACTTAATATAAAGTGAAAATTTGTTTTGAATTGTTTTTAATGTTTACGTATACGCAATAATTATCAAAACAAAAATATGACAAGAGATCATTGACTCCTTGCTTTTTTTTTATAACATAAAATTTGGTGTGGCAAATTAAGAATGATTTATTTTAGAAAAAGAAAAATTATAATTTCAAAGCTGTAGCAGAAAAACAAAGAATTGAAAAAATTAAAAACTTGAGGATGCTATTAATTAAAAATTTAAAAATTTTTGAAAATGGTAACAATTTCTGTATTAAAGTTCTGTACAAAATTCTTAACCATTCTCAATATAATAATTATTACGGTTACTAAAATATCTTTCGTGTATATAAAATATTGCTATTAATATTTTAGGAACATAATATTATATACATAATGTCGCACCTCGAATACTAGTATATTGTAATATAACAGACTGCATAATAGAACTGTTGTTAATTTAGAAAGTTTAATATGAAAGCCAACATTTCATCATTTTGTGTTGAATTCTAAATAAAATATGAAGGATGATTCATAAAGGTATAAAAGTTGTATATCATTGGTTAGAGGATCAAAAATGCGTAAAATTTTTGTTCGGAAATTGATGGCAAATCTCAAAGTCTTCCGAGATGTGAGAATTATATTGATTTTTCACGAAGTTTTTATTTGCCCTTAAAATACTTAAACGATTACTCTAAATAAAAAATAAAATAAACGAGTACTCTAAAATACTTAAAGTACATTAGTTTATAACTCCTCTTCCCAAAAAAGTAGAGACATCAAATCAACAGCTTTAGAAAGGACGTTTTGTTTTATTTTTTTAAATTAAAGCTTAGAGTTTTTTTTCAAAAAAATCTCATACGAAATTTGCTAAAGTAAAATTTTATGATTCTAAGAGCGCTTTTAAAAAATTTGTTTGTTTGAAGCGTCAAACTTTTTCGTAAAAGAGTTATAAACAAAAAAACTTGGGTAAGTAGAAAATTTTTGAAAAATCGATAAAATTCCTGTATCTTGGAAAATGTTGAGATTTGGCAACCACTCCCGAATGGCATATATCTAATACCTTTAATAAATTGTGTATATTGTTGTATACTTTTTCGAATTACCCTATATATGCAGATTTTCAAAGAGAAGCGAACAAATTGTGCAATTATATTCATAAAATTAACGTTTGTAAGCATTTTACATATTTATTTGTACATATTAAATAAACTTATGGTAAATAAGAAAAATAAAATAAATAAAAGCGTTAGGAGGCTAAAGATCTTCTTGTTAAACTCTATATCCAACTTACGATAAACTAGACAGGGGTGCGAAATTTTTTTAGAAAAGGCTATTTTTTTTAATTAAAACCGAAATTAAGTTGGTATTAGCTTTAGTTTTTGTAAGAGAAGTCTCGCCCCACTGGTTAACTAGTATATAATATTCTACATTCTGAAAATAAATGAGTTCCCGCATTTCCATTCACATTTTTTCTTCAAATATTAAATTAATGGTGAACGTATAATTTTCTTTTATAATAATAAATATAAAAAAAAAGTCACGGAAACTATAAATTCCAATTACAATCAATTAGAAACGATTCAATTTATAATCACAGTAACTTTTTTTAGTAACATCATTCATTTTAAGTTTTATATTTTGCTTTTTTTTTTAACACATTAAGGATTTTATTACACAAAAAACTGTAATCAATCAAGTTTCTCGCTCAAGTCTTTTAAAATTTCCAAATTACTGCCTGCAATTTTCATTATTAAATTAAAAAAAAATAAAAATTAAAGAATTCCTTTTAATCAAAATTGATTTTACATTTAATTCTATTATTCATCCTTAAAATAAATTCTTGTTTGTATTAATATGTACATATATATAGAAGAATAATAACAATAATTTCAAAATTACGATAATTTTGAAATTATCATTTTAAATTTACTTTCATAATGATTAAATTTTATTTATTAAAATTTATTTTAAAAAGTTGAATAAACTCATTAAATGAATGCTAAGAAGCCAGCAGGAATATTTCATTAAGGAAATTCTAATTTGTCATCATATTTTGGGGGAATGTAAATCACCAAAGATAAAGTGCAATTTTATTTTTTCTGTTTGCTTCGGTTTCTGTTTCTGTTTTCAATTTTATGAGTTTTTCAGTTTATTGCATAGTGGTCATTAAAAATATTATAAATAATGAGTTGTTGCTTAATATGGAAGGTTCTTTTTAAATTGTAACGAGTATTATTTGTTATTTATATTGTGAATTTATAATTAAATGTGAAATAAATAAAATCTTAAAGGAATATTTAATCAAAAAGAATTTTTTACTTCTAATTGAATAAAATTAATTTTAATATAACATGCGTTCTCCTAAATATATGCAATTTAATTTTATTTTGCGATATGAAAGTGTTATACAAATTGTAATTAAATTTAAATATTTTACTAAAGAAACTCTGAAATTTTGTTTTTATTTGTAAAATAGTTACCATGCAGAAAGCACATTGACTAATATGCACGCTTGCAGTTATTTCAATTTAATTAGATTTTCTTCATTCAATGAGAAGCGTAGCCAATGAAATTAATATTAGAAGCGCAAACAATGAAATTATATGAATTGTAAAATAATTCATTACAAGTTTCCAAAATGTTAAAAGTTAGCAAGAATGGAAAATTCTGTAAGTTTATCATAGTTTTCGAAAACAAAATTCTATAAATTAACATTAGAAAATTCTTTTGTTCTGTTGATCTCTAAAAATTATCGATATATAATTGCAAAATCGGCTAGACTATTCTTATATAAACAATAAAACTTGGAATATGTTCAAAAATTTTCAAAATTCTACATTAACCTTCAATTCTCCTAAAAACGCAAGAAATGTAGTTAAATTGAATATTTATTTAATATTCGAGATTACTGCAATTTCAATTTAATGCGCCTGTTTCCGATGCAGTTAATTGTTAAAACCCGAAATACTCTAAGGTTTTTTAAGATTTCTTTACTTAAATTTTTCGATATATTACTGTAATAATAGTACATATATTTTTGTATAATAGCATATTATTTTGTAAAATTTATTTTCTTATCACATATTCGTATAATTTTTTGTTTTCCTTAGGTACATCATTTCATATATACTTACTTAGATTCTATATGACGTTTAATTTTGTTTATTGTCGTGAATCGTGACGCACTTTCATGTATATTATACAAGTTGAATATATTAATTTGTTATACTAATTTGTTATAATAAAAATTATTATTTTAATTAGAATAAAACTTATTTTATGTACTTAATTGTTAGGAAGATTAATTGAATTAATTAATCAGCAATCACCATATTAAATTTATGTATAATACTTATAGATATGGTCATATTTGTTTGATTTAAGTTCATTATATTGCATGTATGCAAATAAGGTTGATTTAACATTTTTTCAAATTGTACAAAATTTTAGTATTAATCTATGACACTAATACTATAGAGTCTGTTTAATAAAAATTACAAGTTTTGAAATATTTAAGTTGTGTAACATGTACTTAAGTTAATGGCCTACAAATAATAATAATAATAATAAAATTTCTTAATTAATTAAAAAATTTATTCATATTTGATAAAATTTTTTTCAATTATTAAAGTTATTGTACAGGTGTAATCCCCTTATAAAATATTTTCAACAAAGTAAAAATTATTCGAGTATGTTTCTGATTTCTTCAATTAATTTATAATGCAATTTTGTTTAGTTTTTGATTTAATTAATTTTAAAAGCAAAGCTTTAAAGAAGGTAATTAATTCTAAACGTTTAACTTGTTTGTTCAATTAATAAAATATTACAATAATAAATTAATAAAATTTTCATAAATCTATTTTTAATAACTGTGATAAGTGCTTATGTTGCGACCGAATTTAAAATAAAATTGTAAATTGCATACTTATGTAATATTATTAAAATGATGCTGAACAGGAGTCCAATTAAAAAAAAGTTCAGATGCCGACTAACACGGCGTATCTTAGTAACTTTTTTGAAACAATCAACCGCAACATTGGATCCATTACAAAAAATTTTTTGCCTTTAGGATTAAAAATCTTCATAAAATATGATAAATTGTATTTTGAGTTCTCGTTCTTAAATTGATATTTTATTTTCTTAAAAAATTTCAAAACTCCAATATTCTCAACACTAGTTCGATATTGTATGAGACATGGCATTTATAAATTTACTCACCCATTCTTTAAACAAAATTATATATTATTCTCTCTTAAATTCAATATTTGATTATTTCAAAAAATTTGACGAACGTGAGAAAATTCTGTGTATAACAAATTCCAAATAATAAGATTTATAATCACGTACACAATATATAATAAATTTTGAACCACAAGCTAAATGCATTTAAATTATAATAATTGCAATAATTTCATTATTAAATTTTTAAATGTATACCTATATAATGTGATTTAAGTGCGACAGTAATAAGTTCAAATTGCCATGTCGCGCTTAAATAAGTTTTGTTAGTAATTTTACATTAACTCATTAAATATTTATTAAAATTGCAATAAAAATGCGTTTGAAAAACTTGAAATTTTCAAAAACTGTGAGTCATAATTTCATATGTTGGTTTATAGACGAAAAATTTTAAATTTTTGGAGTTGTTTGTGATTTATCTTAAAGTTTTTTATTAAAGGAAGTCAAAATCGCTAAATTTTGAATTATAACAAGATTTCAATTGAGTATTTTTTATTTTTTGTTTGTTTGCGGAGCAATTTTATTGTTTTTTTTTTAATTGGAATTTAGAACTTGAAAATTTATTCTAAGGTACTGTTTACATTATATGACAAAATCTAAGATTAAATCGTATAAAATAAAGTTTGATGTGACTGTTTCCATATCAGACTGAAATTATCTGATGGTGCTCAAACTTTACGTCAAAATTTAATGATTTTGCTGTGAAATTTATCTCCAACATCATGATTGGCTTCCATCATCAAATTCCAACATCACTGATCCAAACTGTACCACAAAAAAAAAATAATTGCCGCCAATTTAGTTTTAAAATATCAGACAGAAAATCTGATGAGAGTATAGTAATTTCTCTTATATTTTATGTGATATACAAAGTCCGTGACTTCAATAATGCTTTATAAAAAGTTTAAATACAGTATTAATACGATTGTACTACCGTGTCAGAGCTTTCAATACCTTTACATTGTAAAAAACTGCTAAACTTTTGATACATTTTGGAATACAATTTTTACAATATTAATACATACTTGCCTGAAGATTTCAATTTAAAGTTCTGTGCAAATGTTGATTTTTACCAGATAGTACCACATCATTAAAAACATAGCATTTTCGAAAAAAAACTTAATTACTTGAACTTAATATGAAAATATATGCTAGTTTATTTAATTGGTTATTTCTGGCAACATTTATATGATATGTATAAGACAAGCGTACTCGATTTTTCCGATACCCACTATGTACAGAACGCATTTAAGAAAAGTGTACAATGTCAAGAGTTTTTACTTAACTTTTTGGAATGTGATACTTTGTAAAGTTTACGTTATAAGCGCATTGTTGAAGTCACGGTAAATAAGATTTTGTTGTATATTAAAGATATTCTGAAAGCGTATACCAATATTTCGTAGTTTATTCAACCCTGGTTTTGAATTGATCATATAAGAAATGGGCGATTTGTTACATATGAAAAGTAGTTGTTTTGAATATTTTTAATGATTAAAATACGAACATAATCAATGAGCACACATGCAATAAATAAGTTGTTCTTGAAGAACCTTCAAAAATTCAATTCAATTTAATAAATAATTTTGGAATTGAATAATGTTGCAATTTAAGTTTTCAATTATGGTTTTATTGCAGTGTTTTTGTTTTTCTTTTAAATTTAAAATTTTAAACCTGTTGCACTTGCTTTTCTGTTTTCAACTTTTTTTTTCGTTTGCCTCTTGATTTAAACTTTTTTCTTTATATAGTTTAATTTCATTAACAAAGTTCAATAAGAAAAGCATTATATTATATACTTTACTTATATTATGTAAACAAATTCATTTATTTTGAATTTAATAATATATTTTGCCGAAATTATATATATTCATATATTAGTTACAATATCACAATAGTTTTTGTTATTTGTACAATTAATGTCGCGAATTAATTTTTCGATTCTGATATAAAAAATTTATCAAATGAAACTCTTTTAAAGAAATTATTTGATGCTGCTACAATTAATGGTTCCCATACAAATTGTGATTCTTGTATAATTAATTTATAAAAATTTGGTAAATAACGATTTGCTAATTGTACTGCAACTTCATCTAAACACAAAAAAATTAATCGAATTTAATTAAATATAAATTCAAAAATTTTAAAAACAAATAATTGAAAATACTCACTTAATGCAGGATCATCAAAAATTCCAGTCGCATTGAATTTTATTTCACCAATTGTTGGATCAATTGTAACATTTTTAATATTTAAAAATTTTTTACCATCAATATTCTCGAATTCAGCTGTAACTTTATTAATATTATGAGAATCACCTGCGAAAAAAAATTATAAATATTTTCAAGTTCATCAAGTTTAACTACAAATATAGTAGAAAGCTAATATAGCAAAATATTTGAAATAAAATTTAAAAATAGCTTTAGAAAATATGAATGAAAGTAAGTGTACAAACAGAAATTGAAAATTTGCAAAATAAATTCAATTCACACTTTTATTTCAAATTTATTTAAATATTTTTTTTTTAAATAAATATTTGCAAATAATTGCTTCAAATATTTTCAAAGTGAAATTAAATTGATTTTCATCAATATTACTTACTAATAATAACATTAAATATTCCTTTTGGACGAATTTTAAAATCATTTAATTTTATATTTGCTTTATAATTTCCAGTTGCCTCAACTCTTGGTAAATATACTTCCATAACAGCTCTTAATCCTTTTTCATTAATTGATGTACGCATTTTTTCAATTTTAACATCAGTTAAACCATAAATTTTAGTATTTTCAACAACGATTGAAACTTCAATACCATTTACACCAGAATAATTACCTTTTTGTTTTGATACTTCTAATGGTTCAAGTGGTGGTATACCAAGTGCTTCATTTCCATTCTAGTAAGCAAATTAATATTTTCAAATATTCAAAATGTATTCGAATTTAATTGAGGAATTATTTGTTTTTACCTTATATTCTAATAATGAAAGTTCCATAATATTTCTAAAACATTCATCTAAATTATTTTCTTCACATGGTTTGAAATTAAATGCTAAAATAAAAATTTTTATTCAATTTTGTCATTGAAGTCTTAAAATATTTCACTTACAAATTTCATCAGTTTCACTATCACATCCAACTATACTTAAAATAGCAAATATTAAAGAAACTATAAGAAATGTTCTATTAGATGACATGATTCCGATGATCATTCAAAAATAATTATAATTTATTTATTTCACGATTTAATTATATTTTCTTTAAATAGATCCAAAGCACTCTTGTAAAATATTAATTTAATTTTTTTAGCGGAAAATTTTTTTTTAAATTTTTCTTAATGTTATTAAAATGACGACTAAAATGTGAATGATAAAAAATTTAAGTTAACTGAAGAATTTTGAATATTTTAATTTTAAATACGCGTTACATATGTGATAAACAGTAATTTCTGATTAAATATTCATAGTTATTTTGCTAGGGAAGGGTGAACATATATGTTTAGCGAATTGAATTGAATAATTGCATGTACAATTGAAAGATAACTTGAACCAGTGTATATCTACATTTGGTTAAAAGTAATTTTTATTATTGATATAAAAACCATTATAGTATATAAATGAGTAGATTTATAAATAGCTTTTACTTATACAATCATTATAATTAATATACGATTTATCATGATTTATTAACCGGCTTTTGAAATCAAGCTTTTAATGGTGTAAAGAATATATTAAAACAAGTAAAAACGTTTCAGTCGGTATAAACCGATTGAATTATACCCTGCACCTTTCGTTGTTGTATAGCAATTACTCGAACCTGTGAAATCAGTTTATAGAAACTTGACGGATATGTCTGACCTATAATTGGACATCCGACTACCAAGTTTCATGAATCTGACTTTATAATTTTTCCAAATATTTAAAATTAGCTTTTGGAGTTGTATGGCACGTATCTGAACCTGTCAAGCAATTCTATCAAAACTTCACAAATATATCTGACCTATAACTCGACACACAACTGCCAAGTTTCATGAATCTGACTTTATTATTTTTCCAAATATTTAAAATAAGCTTTTGGAGCTGTATGGCAAGTACCCGATCCTGTCAAGCAATTCCATCAAAACTTCAGAAATATGTCTGACAGATAATTGGACACACGACTGCAAAAGCTCATGAATCTGACTTTATTATTTTTCCAAATATTTAAAATAAGCTTTTAGACTTGTATGAGAGCTACTCGAACCTGTAAAGCAATTTAACCAAAACTTCAGAAATATATCTGGCCTATAACTCGACACACAACTGCCAAGTTTCATGTATCTGACTATATTACTTTTCCAAATATTTAAAATTAGCTTCTGGAGTTGTATGGCAGGTACCCGAACCTGTCAAGCAATTTTTCTAAAACTTCAGAAATATATTTGACCTATAATTGGACACATGACTGCCAAGTTTCATGAATCTGACTTTATTAGTTTTCCAAATATAAAAAATTTGCTGTTGGAGTTGTATGGCAGCCACCCGAACCGGTGCAGCTATCCCATTATAATTTTTAGAGCATATGTAGAATATAATTGGACACATGTATACAAAATTTAGTATTTATACCTTTATTAGTTTTTGAAATATTTGAAATAAATTCTTGGAGTTGTATGGCAGCTACCCGAACCCGTTGTCCGAATAAGTCCAATAACAATAGGGCTCGTCCTTGGCACAAAAGAAAAAACTTGTGAAAGTTTGGTGTCGATTGCATTATTCGTTTTTGAGTTATCGTGCGATCGGACGGACGGACGGACGGACGGACGGACGGACGGACGGACGGACGGACGGACAGACGGACATGTCTAAATCGACGCAGAATTTTACGCTGAGCAAGAATATATATATATGTCCATACCGCAGATGACTCCTTCAAGTAGTTACAAACTCCATACCAAAGTTAATATACCCTTCACGAAGTGCAGGGTATAAAAAATGGGAGAAAATTAAGTTTGCATTCAACTTAAAGAACTTTCTATGCACTTGCACTGAATAAATTTTTATTTTTTTTTTTAATAAGTAATATATTTTTTTATATTAAAAATTCATTTAATATTCATTAAATGTGAAAATAATTGAAAAATTTACTTACATATATATTTAATTTTGTAATAAATAATAATTAAAATATGAGCATGTGTGCATGTGTGTTGCATAAATAAAGAGATTCACTTATAATTAAATATTTTTAAATACCGTTTTATTGATTGACAGTGACACACATAAATATTATATGTTCTAAGTATGAGTAAGTAAGTGTACATAAGTAAATATTATATTAAACTAAAATATCAGATACTTCAGTTTTTGTCTATAAGAAAAAAAAATTGCATACATTTGGGCGAACATAGAATTTCAATGTTGCATTGCAATATGTGAATTCTATTTAAAATATATTTTAAATTCAAATTAATTCGGAACTTAAAGTTCAAACCAATCTTATGAGGAGTAATTGCTGAATTGTACAGCAATACCAACCGCTTTACTGCCATTTTGAAGTCTAGCTTAGTGGAACTTTTTAAATTTTTAATAATGTTAGGTTTTTTGTTAGTTTATAAGTGTATATAAAATTAAATAAATTTAAAAATTTGCATTGTTAAAAATTTCTGTACAAAATTTTTATTTCAATCTCAACTAATCTTACAATAATAATGATAGCAACCATTTCAGATAATTCACAATAATTCAACTTATATAATATACATATATATGTATAATGTTTAAATTTTAATATTTATAATAAATATCACACTTATTGAATATGAAAAACCTGACAGCATTCTTATTTTTAATTATAATTATTGCCTTATTTGTCTAGCCATATTTATAATCTTTCAACAATTTTATGAAATGGAATTTTCTTTAAAAAATCATTTGATGCATTTATTATTAAAGGTTCCCATATGAATTGTGATTCTTGTATTATTAATTTATAAAAATTCGGTAAATTTCGATTTATTAATTGAACTGCAAATTCATCTATAAGATTTAATAAAGAAAATGTAGTATATTTTAATTAATTGTGTGTCTTTTAATTTAAAATTCAAAAAAATATCTTACTTAAGGCTGGATCAGGAAATATTCCAGTTGCATTAAATATTATTTGACCAACATTTGCATCCATTGTTATATTTTTAATATTTAATATTTTTGTATTATTTAAAATATCAAATTCCGAAATAACTGTTTGAACATTATCAGCATCATCTATATAATATTTAAAATATTTTAAATTAATTATAATGTTATAAGAATTACTGTTATATACACCGCTCTTATGTAAATGATCCATGGGAATTTAACACTTATGTCTGTTTTAAATTATTCCCTAATTATTCTATAAAAATACTTACTAATTATTATATTAAATTCTCCTTTTGGACGAATTTTCAAATCATTCATTTTAATATTTGCTTTATAATTTCCAGTTACTTGAAGTTTTGGTGTATATACATCACTTGTTACATTTAAACCAATTTCATCTAATGATGTTTGAACATTTTTTATTTTTGATTCACATAATCCATGAATTTTAACATTTTCAAGTAACATACCAACTTCAATACCATTTTGACCATTATAATCAACTCTTTGTTTTTGAATTTCTAATGGATCTAATGGTGGTATACCTAATATTTCTGATCCATCCTATAAATAAATATAAGTAAGTATATTAATTAAGTTATTGGAATATTTTTAAAATAAACTTTGAGAGGAAAACGGTTTCATTCTAATTAAGTCCAACTTCAGAAATAAAATGCAACATGACCGTTTTTCTCTTCAAATTTTGTAAAATTATGAGAATTTTATATTAAATTCTTACTTTATTTGCAATTAATTGATTTTGCATAATATCCTTAAAACATTCATCTAAATTATTTTCATTACAGGGTGCAAAATCAAGAGCTGTTCTTTGAAAAATAAAAAAAATTTCTGTAATTTTAAATCTCTATGGATTTTCAATATAGAAATATTATTACCAAGTTCATCATCTGAACGAACTACTGTTAAAAATATTATGGTTTTGAAAGAAACACTTAAGACAACACTAAAATATTTCATTTCTATTTTTTTTTTTTTAATTTAATTTATGAATTAAAAATATTTTAAATTTTATTACTAAATTGAATGATAATTCTCTTTCTACTGAAGATTCTCAACTAATACCCGGCTTAAATAAATTTCAATTTTATAATAGAAAATCATTAAAATATTACGAATGTAAGCGGAAAGAATGATTTTTCAAAAATTCAATTTTTCATATACATATATTAATAAAATTGTATAAGGCGAATTTCTTTGATTGAAATAAAACGAGGGACAAAATATTAATTAATAATTAATATTCTTTTTTAAAATATATGGCAAGTTCACGTAATCAGAAATCACATAATTATATTCAAAGTTTCATTGATTTTAATAATATGCTTTTAAAAATGTTATATTCAATTTAATATTAAATCTTTTTTACCATATATACACACACAAGAATATACAATAGCACCAACCATATTGTGTTCAACATCTCATTTAAAAAGGTAGTGGAAAAAATTATTACCTTTCAAATGTAAAAACAAAAACAAAAATATCGTATATCGTAAAATTTTTTTTATATATTGTCTTTCAATAAATGAAAATTTCATATAATTTGAATTGTTATATTAGAAAATTAGTGTTATATAAAGTGTAAAAAATTTCAAAAGAAAGTACAAATTAAAAAAGTTTATTAAAGAATTATTAAATTTCTATAATATGTGTGTTTGTATGTATGTGTCAATAAGTTTGTAATCTTGTGAATGATTAGGTATAAACGCAGATTTGGCATAGTAAATTCATCAATAAAAATTATTAGGCTCAATGTGTTAAGTCCAATGTGATTTTATCAAATACCTATAGAGTTTTATCTGAAAGAGTTTTGTTAAGTTTGGAGTCCGACTATTGAATTTTGGAAAAACCTTTACCGAACCATAATATTATAGTTTTTTTCTTGAAATTTCTTGAAAATTATTTCTGTATTTGCTTAAATCTCCTCATGTTCACATTTTTTTTAGCATTTTTGTAAAAGTGAGAGTAAAATCTCATTTTTTTATTTAAAATTTCATTATTTTACAATTAAAATCAAATTTTAAAGAATTAAATTTAATAAGAATTTTAGGTTAAAAAGATTCTTAAATTAAATTGGTAAATGGTATGGGTACAAATATAAAGGGCTATAGGAAGCGATTTTTCAAAATAAAGACATTTGAATTGAAATTTAGTTTACTAAATAATATAAAATTATGAACTGGTCGAAATATTAATTTAAGTAAGGGCGTAAAATAGAAAATTTGTTTCTAAAAATTTTTAAGAGTTAACTAAAATCTTTTTGCCAGGGTTTCCATGTTAGTAAAAGAGAATATAAATTGTCATTTCTAGTTAAATTGAATTTTTCTTGTAGCCTCATTTTGTCATGTCAACGACAATTACGTTTAAAGAATATAGATATAGAATGTTCTTATGAATAAATGTGTAAGATTCCAAAAATTTCATATTTGCAATCATAAACAAATATTTGAGATTTGATTTTTATGTTTGGATTTTCATTTTTGTTTTAATACAGAACTTAAATGAATGTCCTCTGTCAATTTTATACATATTTTGTACATACTCAGAAAACTATGGTAATTCTTCAGAGGTAAGAAACTTATCAAATTAACACTCATTTATGGTTATGCCACCGTGAAATCAAGATTTATAAAAAAATTATATAGCCACCCAAATATAAAGACCACATTTATTTATGCTTATTTTGTAATTAATTATTTCTTTAGTCTCTATTTTTTTAATAATTTTAAATTGAATTTAATTAATCTGAAGTTATACTAACCAAAAATCTAAATTTTTAGTAAATGTTATGTACATAAATAAGTTTCAAAATAATCCGAGTAAAAGGCCGCGGTATGGGGAGCGAAAAAGTTTAACAGGGCAATGAAAATTTTGCAATTTTTAAAATTACACCAGGAAATACAGGATGAAGGCGAATCCGCAATAAAAATCTAATACAAATAATACTTTTAATGCGCCAGCTTAAAATCGGAAATTCAAATTGGAATGCGATTAGCTCCCGCAAATTCATTTTTATTAAAATTTTACGTTTTAAAGCTTAAATCGGTACACTTTTTAACAACGCAAAAATTTAACTGTGTTTTTCTTTTGAAATGAATGTTTGTGACGCTTTCATCTAGCTTTGTGAAAGTCAAATACTTTACAAAAATGTATGTGTTTTTCATTCGAGTAATAATTTCAATCTTTTATATTGAATTTCTAATACAGTTTATGTTTTAAACAGTGTAATTGTTTAATTAATAAGTATTGTGCTTATTACACCAATAATGTTAACTGAAATTTCGTCATATGACTGCAGTATAAATGGATGATGTAATCAAAGGAACGAGTTAAAGGCAAAAAGATTAACAAATTTTTTCTCCTCGAACTGGATTCGAACCAGTGACCTGCCACTTTCTAAGCGGATGCTTTATCTTCTATTTGAAATACACAATCACAACAACATATAAATAGGTCAATCTTTTATAAATATTTCAAAAAGTAAATTGTTATAAAATTAAATTAAAAGCTTTTTAAATCAACAACTTCTTAGCACTTTTTTTAAATACACTTTTCGAACTTAAATAGTAGCCATAACAAACTGTTTTCGAATTATTTAAATTTTATAGATAACCTTATTACATTTTCCTATTTATCCTGCATAATATTTCAAAATACTTTAATTTGATATTGGAATTAATTTCACTAATACTAACATTGCATGCAAAACTTAATGTTACTTAATGAGTTTTAATCATAGTTGGTTACTCATTAAAATAATGAATGATTTATAGTATATAGGCTAGAAATTTTAGTGAAATTTTGATTATAATGAGTTTTTATTGTTATACTTGAAATGAAAATTAATGAATTTGTATATAATAACTAAATTATTTGTTACATAAAAGTAAGTTATAAATATATAGACAAAATTAGCGTATTCGGCGCAAAACAATTAATAAAATTAATATGAATCCCATATAAAATTTGAAAATTTTTAAAAATACTTTATTTCCATACATTGCATAATGTGAAAAACTCATTATTATGACATACATACATATACTTTTAATTATGTTCTATACATTGTAAATAAAATTTCAAAACTGGACTAAAAACTGTGCACCATTTCGTTCAAGGTTTCTGTAACATAAAAGTTAAAGTTTCAAATTATAATAAAGAGAGTGTGTTATTCGCATAAATCACCATTTATAAAAAAAATAAAAAATTATTAAATTTTGCAAGATTTTCTTATATTTTTTTTTTAGATAGTATTTATTATTTAAAACAACTTTTTGCACAATTAAATTCGATATGATAAAATGTCAATAAACTGCAGCCTTAAAACATTGAACTTATTTTTCATAATGTATTCGCATATGTGCATAAACAAATATACATATGTATATGAAATTTTTCTTCTTATTTATTCACTTTTTATTAATATCTTGCGTTCTAATTAATCTCTAAAAAAAAAGCTTAACCACAAGTATTAAAACTCTTAATAATACCATATAAACATAATACAAATACAGCTAAGCTCTCGTTAAGAGAATCTGAGTTGAACTTCAACTGGTATGAACTTGAAAAACCTACTATCCATATATGCTCAGAAAAAAAAAAAGCATAATGCACTTTGACTTTTATGCACCAAATGTTAAAGAATCGATTCTCGAAATAAGTTTTCCATAGTTTAGATGTATGTCTGTGTGTTTATATGTGTATATAAATTAATTATTGACAAATTGCAACCAATGAATATGTATAAAGTGTTATTATTCGTTATTAATATTTGAATCAAGGCTGTTTACTTCAAATAATTCTTTCAAAGATTTTTATTTTTTTTAAATTCTTCTAGATTTTTTCAAAATGGTTTTTCTTATTTGCCAAACCCCACTCTAATATTTTCAAATTTTAAATTGGTTTTTTGCAATTTTATCCGTAAGTGTACCTATATATAATGCAAGCGTATATCAATTTACAAAATAGTTATAAATTGTGTGGATTATTAAAAATTAAATCTTAATCGGATTCGGAGAAAAAAGAAAAATTTAAAAAATTGACTCTTATACGGAGGATTTTTAATATTGTACCTTTTTGGTTTTTTATAAGAATTGAACGTGTTTTACTATAATTAAAAGAATATTGTAATAATGAAGCATTCAACAACAATTTTAATATTTTTCATTATTATTTTTAATATAGAATTATCAATTAGTGATGATAATTTTGAATTAAGTATGTGAAATTAACAAAAAAAAAAAATATTGAAATTAAAAGAAATTAGAAAATAATATTTTGGATATTAATTTATATTATTTTAGCTCCTCCATTAGAATTATCTAGAAGACCATGTGATCGAAATGATCTTGATTTAGATGATTGTCTTAAAAATTTAATTCAAGATCAAATCCAAAAGAATATTGTAAATTATTTTAAAAATTATTTTATTTTTAGTTTTAAAAATTAATTCAAATATTCTAATATTAATATAGGATGGCTCAGAAACATTAAATATACCACCATTAGAACCATGGTCATTACCAAAAACAAAATATTTATATTCACAACAAAATGGTATACGTATGACATTAACAACTGAAAATGTTCAAATTCATGGATTAAAACGTACAACAATTGTTAATGTTAGTACAAAATTTCAAAATGATTTAATGTCAGTTGATATGATGATACATTTACCAAAAATTCGAATGTCTGGAAATTATTCAGCAAAAATTCGTGTTAATGATTTAAAAATTCGTCCAAGAGGAAAATTTAATATGACTTTATGTAAGTTATTATAATTATTTTATACAAAACAGAGCCAGAGCATTGGGATATTTGTATTTTTTATATAATTATCGCCTTTAAGGTGAAAAAAAATTTTAATTGTTTGCCTGAAAATTAAATTTTTCATATTAGCAAACATTTCATTTGCTTACTAACATTTTTGTCATTAACTTATAAAACTTTTTTATTCAGCTTTTATTAAGTTTTATAAGTTTCGCCTAATCATATGCAAAATTTTTATCAAATTCGGTTTATCTGTTATTTTATTTAACATTTTTATTTTTGTACACTTAATTTTACACTTACGAAATATCATATTCAATTGGGGAACTTTTAAGTTCATGTTGTAAAATTTATTATACATAAAATTCAAAATGGAATTTTAGCTTAAATTTATATAATTCTTGTTGTCATTGCAACTATTAATGTTGTATTTCAATATGAAACCTTCATTTCAAATTCATTACAATATTTAAGTACACGCCATAAAATTGGAATTTTAATTTAGAAATATAGTTGATATCTCAGGTTCCATAATGCAAGAATATGGTTTTTAAATTTTAAATCAGAAATTTATTGTCCAAACTCAAAAAAGATCAGCATTGTTAGTCTAAATACTGAAACTTCCTTTACAAATAGAATGGAAAACTTCACAATTTCATTTGTATTACATTGCTACTCGAAAATATTTGACATAATATAAGATGACATCGTTCATTTGCTGCAACAGTGACATAAGCATTTAAAATATTTTTTTTTGTGCAAAAACTTCCGTTCTCTATACAGTTAGAAAATTGTCGCTTACAAAACATTGTAAAATAATGCTAAGACGATAAAAGCATGTTAACTCTGGAAATTTTAAATTCGATTTTGTTAAAAGTTCAAATTTTGAATTATGTCAGTGTTGCTACGTACTACTAATAAGACATAATAATCAAGTGGATGTAAATTCTCATATCGTCGTATTTTTCTAGGATAATTTAGATAAAAGTTACGAAAATCTTTTCAAACTCACCAAAATCATATTGCATTTTACATTGAACTCTAAAAATTTTGTATGGCAGTATATACAATTCAATAGTTATTCATATTATTATTTATAATTATTTTGTAAAAGCAATTATTAATTTCGATTATTTTTTTTTTTATTAAAGCAAACGTACTAAATAATATGAAGTTAACTGGTACAATAGAACGTTTTAATAATCAGAGATTTTTAAAATTGAAAAAATTCTCATTAGATCCAATTATTGAAGATATAAGATTTAATGTAACAGGAATATTCCCAGCTGATCCATCACTCAGTAAGTCATTTTATATTTAATTATAATTTTTATTTTAATTAATAAATTTATTTATTTATTTTTCATATCTATATTATAGATAACGTTTTTGTACAATTTATCAATTCATATTGGAGAAATTTATATCCAGCGATAATACGTGAAACTAAAGCTGATTGGGAACCAATGCTATTAAATGCAACAAATCAATTTTTAACACATATACCATTTGATAATGTTATAAAAGATAGTAAAATTTAAAGAAACAAATTTTATATTTAGTCATTTTAAATGTATAACAGGTAAAGCTCAAAATTTCAAGCTGAATAAGTTCACTACAAGAAATGTATAATAATATCAGTGTGTTTGTGTATATATAAAAAATTTTGGTGGTAAATTATAATAATTTTTTATTTGAAATTATAAAAGATTTTAATAATACTCGTATATTGTAGTTATAAAAGCAATATACAAATAAAATATTCAAATATTTTTGAAAATGAAAAAATTATCACACGTTTATTTTTTTTTTGTAATTCACTTAAAACTAGTTAAAAAGAAAAACAGTTTTAAATTTTTTTTTCTCAAAAAGTAATTGCTAACTTAACTGGGAAATTTGCACAGAAATTATTTACCATTTCTAAAATAATTGGTTCCCATACCGGTCTTGTTACAGAAATAAATTCTTTATAAAGATCTAATGAATGTCTCTCAAATAATCCCATAATTAAATTATCTGAAATTGAAATTTTATAATTACATTTTATAATTAATTTATTTAAATTAAAAATTATACCAATTAATAATTCAGATTCTGTTGCGTTAGATCTTTGTATTTCAAAATGTAAATTTTTAAATTCTGGTTTAAAATTAACTTTCTCAGCTTTAAAATAACGTTCACCATTATTATCTATAATAATACCAGTAGTTCTTGCATAATTATGAATTTTTCTTCCTTTCAATATAAAATGTCCTTTATGACGTAATTTCAATTCATTAAATCTCAAATTAACTTTAAAATCACCTTCTGCGATTACACCAGGATTTGATAGATCAAATTCAAATGAGAACCGATTTGAATCATCATATTTAAATTTAACTTTATTTATTGTTGTCTCTTTCATATTATAAATTTTTAAATTATCTGTTTGTACTATAAAATCAAATAATTGATTTTTAAATGCCCATTTTCTTGGTGGCATTACATATGGATCTAATGGTGGAATACCAAGTGTTTTTGAACCATAATCATTCTATAAAATAAAATCTATAAGATTAAGTTGTTTTTTTTAATATTTCTTAATATTTACAGCATATTTGCCCCAAAATGATTGAGCATATCCTCTTAAACATTGATTTATTTGTGAATTGGCTGGACAAGGTGGTGCTATATAAACAAAAAACAATGAAATTTTTAATTTTAAATTAAAAATATTTTATCTTACGTAGATCAATGTCGTAGTCATCACAATTTGTTTGAATTGTTAATGTTGCAATTAAAGCAAATATTAGAAAAATCATTTTTAATTTTTATTTATTCTGTTCTTGCACTTATTCTGTTCTTTAATTTAAAATTTTGTTTTAAAAATTAATTAATTCTTTTCTGTTAATTCTTCGCTAATATATCCTTTAAGAATGATCAACAAGATTTTTCAGTCCATGTATTTATATTATTGTTGTTTATGAAGGTACCCTACATACATATATGATTTGTTTTTTCTGTAAAACTTGTTAGAAACGAGACATTAAAAGCTTCTTGATAATTATTCTTCTTTTATTTATTTATTTGTATATAAGTATCTACGTATATGATATAATAATATTATATTTATATTTCTGTCAATAAATTATTAATCAATTTTTTATTATAATTTTTTCTAGAGTTCAAAAAAATCACATTTAATATTATAAAATTTAAATATTTTAGTAGATGGTATATAATGTCTTGTTCATAATTAAGGCATATTGTGCTTATTGCGTCTTCAATCAAAATTTTATATATACACACAAACATATTATATAAAATAATTTTTTTAACAGCGAGTTCTGTTTTGGTTTTCTTCTAAATTGTGGGAATTTTTGAACATTAATACTTTGTTTGTACATTTTTAGTCGATTGACAAGTCAAGGATAATAGTGAAAATTTCTAAAGTGAATTTAGAAACTTTTCGTTAAATTTTTCTGCATCAGCCATCTACACTGTGAATTTCTTCGGAATCATCAAATAAAAGTTGTACAATGTGTCTTTTTTTTTAAACACATTGTATAATTTTACATTTGAAAACTAAAAAATCTTGATGCATAATTGTGTTATTTAATTCCACTGCTTAGTAATAGTAGTAGTAAGAGAGAGGGGCTCCACTCGTACACCCGCGCGAAGCCCATGCACTAGGCCAACAGAAAAGGCCCATCGGGAAGCGCCAAAACCAACACCCAACAACCAAAGCAACGTGAGAGACACAACGGATAGGTCATAATAAAAATAAGCCCCAGACACGTTTTCTCTTCCACATTAAAAACGCCCGACCCAGCCATCGCAAGACGATCTGCCATCTTATTACCCCGTATCCCGCTGTGACCGGGAACTCAGCACACAGTCAACCTGCACCCGGCATTTCAGAAGAAAATACAATGTGTATTTTGACGAGTCGTATAGATGCAACTCCGAACATACCTTATGGTTTATAAAATTAAATTTTTCAATTTACTGTTGTTTACATCTAAATAATTAAAGTGTTATTTACTTTCAAAGTAATATGTGTCTACGACATTTCCAGAAGTATAAATGTTGTTAATTACCGATATATAAAGATCTTATGGGAGAAATTCTTCTATTCAAAATAAAATAAAATATTAAAAATATTTTGCAATTAATAGGAAGTTCATACCCAATTCATATTACTATAATAATTGTACTTTTATATACATAATTGTGAAAAAATATTTTTCTTTTAAATTAACAAACTACAAATTATTATTTTCAATCTACATAAAAACTCTTCAAAATAATTTAAAAATTCTTATATATGGGATAGAGGATTTTCCCCATAAGGTTTCGATATATACATACATGTACATATTTTTTTTTTCAAAGTGGGGACCGGGGCTCTCGTGGCCCTCACACCTCATCTTTTTTGATTCGCCATACCGTTACATAGGAACTATTCCTAGGTCCCTAACGAATCTCGGTACTACGTGAACCTAGAGTCGCGAATAAATCCATATAGGTATAATATAAATTTATTTTTTTCTAAAACAACATTGTGTTAAATTTGTTGAACTATTAAAATTTTTATTATATTGGGACAAAAAAAGAACTTTAGATTTGCAAATTCTCTTAGGTCACTACCAAAATTGACGATTAAAACATTAAAAAGTCGTTCACTTCTACTTCTACAAAATTTAAATAATAATATTAAATTACAAAAATTTTAAGTTATTAAAATTATATTCTTTTGCAATTTGTATCACATTAATAAAATTTATACATAGTGAAAAAATATAAAAATTTTAATATCAAAAAATTTTAAAATCAAATTTTAACCCAATTAATTTTTAATAAATTTTAAATTGACCTAACTCCGAACTCTAATCGAAGTGATTCTGATGTCTTGTAGGTTTATTTACATTACATATACATATGTATATGTGTATTAACTATTATATCCAACAATTAAAATAATATTTAGAATTTATAAATAGTTATTCCGTTTTAGTTTTGAATAATCATATGATATTTTTGTTTGAATAAATTAAATTTAATATTTGAAGCGTATATTCTCATATTATCATAAAATTTTAATAGAATTATATGCTTACATACAAGTCTCAAATACAAGAACAGTTTTTTTAGCATCCATTTTTATTTATGAAAAAGGGGGGTAAATTCACGAGTAGCTCTGCATATTTAGCTACTTTACTTATTAAATTGTTTTAACTAATTAATTTAATACTCGTATGTGATATACTAACCGTCTAGCTAGAAATTATATAGATAAGTCACTTTTATAATTGAATACTTGGAAAATATATGAGGGAATTAAAACCTTTCTATTTTGGCATATACCTGTATTTTCACATAAACAAGAAGAGAGATTTTTTTTTAATAGTACAATATCTTTCCTGTTTGAGAGACGTTCTTAAAAGTTATTTAAATGGCTATTACTTTCAAATTGTGCCAAATTTTTGGAGCCATCCAATTTTTATACTCGTACAAACGTATGTTCGAAGGGTATACTGAATTTGCCTTACCGTTTGTGACGATAAGAAGTAATGATCAGAGATAAAGACTAAAGTGTATGTTTTTGATCAGCGTCGAATTCTGAATCGATTTAGCTTTGTCTGTCAGCCCGTCCGTCCGTCCCAACGATAACTCAAAAACTAATTGAGCTAAGTTCACTAAATTTTCACAAATAATTTATTGTAGTAAGTGCTAGAATCCTATTTAAAGTGGACATGATCGGGATACTGATTCGGATAGCTGCCATACAACTTCAAAATTTATTTAGCTATATCTCAGAAATTATAAAAGCTGTTATATTGAAATGTCACACAAACGAATATATTAGTAGGGCCAATGTTTTTGATAAAATTCGTTGAAATTGCTTGGCTCCTTCTGGTATCTGCATAAGTAATATCGCAACTTAAGCTCATAGTCTGTCTCATAGTCAGCTATGGTATATTTATACGCACATAGGATAACAAATTCGTAAGGATATCATAGAGTTGACACGGTCAACTCAATTTTTTCTCTCTTTATTTTGATTTGACAGAAATTTAATATGTGTATAATTCACCTCAATTATGCTAATTATTACTCATACATATACTTACTTCAAACAATATTCTTGTGAGTTATACTATAAAATTGTATATGTACCATCACAATACCATGCAGATCTATTTTCATATATCTGTGTATGTATATGTATGTTACATCTATTTCTATTTTATAGAGAGTGTTAAAAATATTGCATTTGAAGTTTGTTCTGTATACATTTTCTGTACATCTTATTCTAAAATTTTAATTCACAAGTCAAGTCAAATTAAAAATTTACTTACGAGTATCTGACAAAAAATTAAAAATTCAAAATTTAAACAAAAACAAGTTTTAATTATTAATACTCATTCGCAAAAACATTCAAACAAACAAAAACATTTATATTTTTTTTATAGTCAAATTTAGATTTTACAAGTAATTAATGTTTAAGAACTTTAGAATAGATTTGTGTACCCCCCATGCAAATGCAAAATTTAATTTTAATAAATTATCAATAATTTGAGAAAATATTTTTTATTTCAATATATTTTGAGAATTTATAATAATTTTCATGTTAATTGACTCTTGTATTTAAGAATATCTTATTTTTTAAACAAAAACCTCAAGATTCTAAGTAATTGTATTCGAAAATCTATAGGTGTAACATTTATTGAAACTCAATATTGTATATTTTCACACATATTATTTATTAAAATTATTAACATCAATATTTTATAAAAAAAAATAATAACTTTTATTAAGAATATTTAATCCAAATTGGTGCACATTAATTCACCGGGGAAATTCTTAAAGAAATTTCCTGATATATCTAAAATAATTGGTTCCCACAATGGTCTTGTTTCAACTACAAAACTTTTATAAATTTCTTTTAAATTATTTGTAAAAAGATTTGAAATTAAATTATCTGTAAAAGAAGAAAATAAAAATTATAATAAATATTATTTTAATTTATAAATTAAAAAAAAAACATAATATTTTTTTCTTAATAAATTACTCACCTAATATTGCATTTGATTCATTTGATTCATCACTTTTCACCACAAATTTAAAATCTTTTATATTTGCTTTAAAATTAACTGTTTTCGGTCTTAAATAATGATAACCATTTCGTTTATCAAGAGTACCAGTAACTTTAACGTAATTATGAATTTGACTTACTTTTAAATTAAAACGTCCTTTATGTTTTATCTTTAAATCACTCATTATTAAATTTAATTTAAAATCAGAATCAATTATAACTTCTGGATCTGACATATCTAATTCCAATGAAAATTTATTTGTATCGAAAAACTTCATTTTACTTTTATGTATTGTTGTTTGATTCATATTAATTATTTTCAAATTATTTGTATAAAATACAAAATCAAATAAATCATTTCTAAATGGCCATTTTCTTTCATTTAGTACAAATGGATCTAATGGTGGTAAATGTAATTTTTCAATTCCATATGGATTCTGAAATAAAAAAAAGAAATTAAAATGAAAATTATATTAAAAATTATTTAATTAGAAAAATTTAATTTTAATTCAAATTAATTATAAAATTCCAAAAAAAAGTGGAATTGTATATATGTTTTTGATAATTATATTGTTTATACTGTTCATATATCAAAGATTTGAATTTCCAAGTTTTCCAAACCATTCGATTATAATAATTAAATTTTAAATTAAGCGTTCCGTAAACAATTCCACCAAAGAATATTGTAAAATTTAAAAAAAAATCTATTTAATAATAATTTTTGTGCATAATACCGCAATTGTATGCCAAAGTTTCTGCAAATAATTTCTGATACATTCATTAAAATTAGAACCTTTAACATCACATGGATCAGCTAAAAGTGAAATTATTGATTTAAAGTTAATACTTTCTTTTACTTAATTTTAATTAATTATTATTTACATAAATTCAAGCTGTTATAATCATTTAAATCAATTTCAGCACAATTTATAATTTGTACTGAAATTGATATAACAAAGATGAGTGCTAAATATTTCATTTTTTAAAAATCCTTTGCACTTATTATTGCACTTAATACACGAATGAATTTCTTCTTATATTAATTTTTATAATTATTTTTTTTTTAAGTTGAAATTGCAATCTTTTTATATGAAAATCCTTTGAATGTTTAAATAATCTTATGTCGGGAATCCCGTATTTATATCATATTATATTTATTTTTGCGTATATATAGATATATGGATATAAGTATATGAATATATTAATTATAATTTCAATCGTTTATATTCGCAAAATCGTATATCATTTCTGCACACAAACATTTTGTAAAGTAAGTACGTATGAAATAAATTTATAAATTTACATCAAAACAATGATTTGTATAATAGCACATTTCCTAACTAAATATTGCGTACTAACTAATTGTTGCGTACATTCAGGAGGAAGAAGCATAGCCAGGAGAAGAAGCATTAACATAGCGAATAAGCAGAAGAAAACTAAAAATTTTAAAGTGTTTTGCTTTTGAAATTTAGAAAACCTAAAAATTAGTATTCAAAAATTGAAATTTTCCTAATTTTGAGGCATGATATTTTGTAAATTTTGTTTAGAGAAAACAGACAATTATTTAACTTCTATACAAATAGTCCATATGTGATGCTTCCTGAACATACACATTTAAAAGAGGAACGAAAAAAAAAGGAAAAGAAAGTCTTCTGCATTTGCGGAGTTTAAAAAACTGTTTATAATTTTCACACAATTAGTAATCAAAAACCAGCGTTATTAGAACTATGCATGGCTAGAATTTCAAAAGAGGCAAACCACTTGGGTACGAAATTTCAGCTTTCCATCTTAAAAGATGTAAAAGAAGAATAGGCGAATTAAGAAATTTACAAGTACATTTTTTTTAAATTTTTGTTGAACATATGTGCTATAATAAGCTTCTGTATTTATTTTTGATTCTCTTTTGATATTTTTTCCTTTCATAGTTCATATACTAAGTGTACGTTTGTGTATTATTATGGTATATAATGTTTGTAAAATCTATATATTAAAGATTAAATAAACATTATTTTAAAACGGGAAACCATTTAGAGAACCTAGTTGAAAATGGTATACCACAATGTAAATACACAATGTATGTATGTGTGAACGTATAAATTTTATTTCAATAAAACAAGTATTTTTCCATGGCCTTTCAAATAATTTATATAATATGCGTATGTTTTAACAACAGTGTATTTATGTAAATACAGCTATAATATTTAAATATAATATAAAAATTTTTATTAGGATAGTTCCAAAAAATTAAACATTTTCTTCATATAGTAATTGCCAATAAAAATTTGAGAATAAGCAAAAAATTAACACAATAGCAAAAAAAAATTTAGAATAAAATTATTGCTTTTTAATTATCTAATTTAAATTTAATTGAAACAAGAATTTTATTTAGAGATTATTAATTAATCATGTTGATGGATAATTATTCCAGAAATTCCATTAAAAAGTTCAATAAATCCTTTCTAAATATAAATATATACATATGTAGGTATGTAACTACATCATTTATGTATTGTCTAGTATAAATTGTATGTGAATACTTCTTTGACCTTTATTTCGCTCCGATTCATTTCAGATTAAATTATATTTCAATTTTCCCTTCAAATATTTAAAGAATTCACATAAGCAAAATACGTTTTTAATACAAAATTTTAAAAGAAACATGCGATATTCTTTAACCGAACGTAAGAAATATTAATTCTTTAAGTTTTGTTCCGGACGTTTATGTTGTAAATGATAATAGAACACATATCACACAGGTATAATGTTTGAATGAAATGTTGGTTTACAATAGCGAACAACATCTTTTTTTTTGTTGTATCTCTGCATGTACCGCTAAATAAAAAAAAAATCCGGTCATATTGCCGTGTGTTCGAACAATGAATACGACATAATACAACTAAAAAATTTTCAAACGCTTGAATATTGTAACTTTTTTTTTCTCTTTATAATTCTAATTTCTAAAGGAGTTGTCGCAGAAAGCTGAAATTTATGCAGCAGATGTGCCTTGCCAGTAGCAAACGAAAAAACGAATCTTTCAATTATGTTTTCTAACTCAAGTTTTAACATAGAATACGATGTGCGATATGTATGTACCTATATGTTGACAAGTTGTACACCAAAACGGGTATATAAAAAATTATTTACCAATATTTTAAACAATATCAAGCTGCCATTATATTAAACAAATTAATTATCAAAAGTATAAGAAATTATTTTTTATTTTGAAGACATTAATTTGTAATATCAAATAAATTATGTCAAAAAAATTGCTTATTACAAGTTATATACCAATTAATTAAACAGTAGTGATCTAACAAATATTCTTCAATAATAATTTTTATCTCAAATTGTGTCATCTACCATATTTCAAAGTACATTAATAAAGTTGGCCAGACATCTTTTATATATAAAATATATTTTTAATTACAAATTTTTGTCCTAAATCCTTTCAGGTTTAACACATAATATAATTTAATATTAATTAATTTTTAACTTAAAACGTTGAAATAATGGCGTTTTTATACACTATTTTAATATTTTAAAATCTATAAGTAAGTAAAAGTAATTATATCATACATGTATATGTAAATGTAGATTAATAAATAAAATTCAAGTTGTGTGATGTTTTGTTTTCCGTAGATTAATTGAACCATAAAATGCGCAAAGTACTTTAATGATTTTTTCTATATATATAAGTATAGTTGTATTTTATTTACACATTTCAACAATAATTAAAAATGATATGCATGTGATCTTGAATTTCATATTTCAACTATTTATACTTATACTTAAGATATGCCAATAAACTCTGGAATATATCCATTAATATATATATGTATTAAACTGTATATATGGGTATAAATGTTTAATTAAATTTATATATATAGAATATATTTTATGCATTTAATATATATGAGAACAGGTTACAATTATAATATAATAAAAATTAAATATCACAAGGTAATAAAATGGAGAAATAAAGAAAAAATTCGGTGTAGAACCCGTAAACGAAACAAAATATTTAAATTAAAAAATGGCAATCTATAAAGATTCTTAAATGTAATTAAAATGTGAATGATTTCGGTAATTTTTTACATTTTTTTCAAACGCTTCTAAAATTCTAAAGTATACGATAAAAAATACCGTCTTTATTATTTTGATTTGAACTTTAAAAAAAATTAATTTAAATTTTTTTTTTGTATAGATTTAATTAGGGTGAATTGTCGTACATATGACCAGCTTTACCTGTGGACAGTAGTAATATCTCAGAAAATACATAAGTTATCTTTAAATACTGTTCACTTCCAGGTAAATACTGTTAACACTTTAATCAAACGCATTTTTGTCTTTACAAGATTTTTAAAATTATTATTAAATTAAACACCAAAAACGTACTTAAATGGACACAACGTGTCTCTTATTTTTGTACGCATATTTTGCATAATTAATTTATTGAAAATAAAAAAATTGAAGATTTAGATTAGTAAATCGTGTGATTCGTACCTACAATTTATTGGTTACTTCTTTTTTAATACACTCAAAAAGATTATGCGTAAATAATAGTAAAATGTTAAATTCAATACAATACAAGTACAAGTAAATACAGATGCAAACTTAGAAATTTTTCTTTAAAATTTTAAAATTTAATTATCTAACAGGGTATATTTACGAAAATTTGATAATTTGATTCTGACTAGACCGATGAAGATGAAAATTTGTTTTTGTCCACTAATATGGGAATTCACCCTACATATATTTTTAATATATATGCGAATATTTGTATAGAGTTTTATTTTTATAATATTTTTAGCTATCAGACAAAAGGCAAAAAAACTCATATTTTTTATTTAAATTTATTTTCAAAGATTCTTGCCAAATACAATTACTGAATAAAATCACACCGACTAACTATAAGAATTGAAATTTTTTAATTATGGTTCTTAAAATGTAGCCATTATTTTTATTTTGCTTCCTAGTTGCGCAGTAAATTTTTAAAAAATATTGTACTACAAATTGCTTTAATTGTGCACCCTCTTCCCGAGGCTTAAATAAAAAATTGATGCAATCAGTATATAACCGATTGCCTAGTTTTACGAAAGTTTTACAGAAGATTATGAAAATTCCTTTTAAAGACTTCCATCCAAATTGCAAGATGTTAGTAAGCTGTTTGTTAACACACTATAAGGAAAATATAAATTTGGATTTTAGTAGAGTTTCGCTTTGTGCCATCCAAATTGTCGGAAAAGTTCGTTAGTTTTGCTAGCAACCAGAACTTAATTTCAAGAAATTCCGTCAATTATAATAATTTGTAAATCGACCCCTTAGTGAAAGTTGTGCTTCCGAATCCTGTTATTACTAAAAAAATTTATTGATTTTAACATCAACATATTAAATATTAAATTTCAAGTAAATTGGCTGATTTTATATGCACAAAAATGTAAAATCGGTTCGCAAAAAGGTCCAGTTTCTGAGGCCTGATATTTTCTAACAGTTGATCAATCCGTGCCATTGCCAAAATAAACTTATACATACAATTTCATTAAATCGGTTCACTTGAACTTGAGATACACAGTACACAGATGCACACGCGGACAGCTAGTTCGACAGACCGTCAAAAAAAGACACCTCTCAAAAAATGGTTTATTTATACGGCTCCCTACCATAGAGAAGTGCTTTTCCACCGAAAACTCGACATCCAAGACAACCTTCCAGCCGGCAAATAATGTAGTCTTATCTAATATAAATTATTTGAAAAGATATGCATACTTTTAAAATTAAAATGTTAAAAAGTTTTGGTTTTGATCTCCTTATAACCTTTTCGTTTACTTTTTTTGACAACCGAAATATTATAAAATATACCCAAATTAAGAAACAATCAAAATCAAAGTGTATTTGAATTTTACAACTAAGACATTTATACGAATTAAAACAGGGGACTGCAATATATAGAAATTTTTTCAACAATTTATTCAAACGAGACCTTACTGTTATATGAGATTTAGATAATTCATAGTAAATCCGACGAGCCTTAATATATGCAATTTGTTATTAAGAATATTATTAACAATGTGAAAATAAAATATTTTTGAGCTTTTATTAATGGAAAAATGTAAAAAATATAAATTGTGAAAAATAAAAGCGTAAATAAAATAGTTTTTGTTAACAGCCTCACCATTTTCAATAATTATTTAGAAAATTATTGAAAGTATGATGCGCAAAATTATTTTGAAGTTTTTGAATAAAAAAAATGGAATTCAATTTAACTAAAAAAATTGTAGTTGAAATTTAATTGAATTAAACTGCGGTTGGCAATTTTTTGTATATTATTATACTTGCATAAAATATTCTTATAATATTTTTTAAGAAAATTTTATTTGGTTTCGATTTCTTCCAAAAATACTAAAAAGGCCATGGTTCATGTGTAAATAAGTCGCTTTTCAGTATTCAACTAACAGACGTTAGGCATGAATTTCAAATCTACTCGATGTCCGCATCACAAGTCCCAACATAGGTACCCAACGCGTTTCTTTCATAAGTTTGATACATAAGCGATTTTTATATGCGACAAAACGAATGACGAAGAAAACATTTTAATTTTGAAATTCTACATTTTCCGCTTTATTGAAATCATTTTTGCACTTTCTTTTGAAAAAATCGCTTAGTTGCAGATGGTTGCGAATGAAATGACAAGATAAACGTGGGAAACTGTCACACTTATCTTACAAACTCTTAATTTAAGTATAAAATATTGTTGGAAAATTAAGTGCTTAATATTGAACCAGTTTTAATAATATTAAATTTATTTATTCAAAAATAATTTACAACATAATATAAAATTATAATTGATGAAATACAATAATATATATACAATATTCCGTTAAAATCATTTAATAAAATCAATTCATTATAATCTTAAATTAAATTAAATTCAGGTTCATGTATTGCATCATTAAAACTTATAGTTTTTAAGTGTATAAAGAGAGGAAATCGTATATGATTTAATGATCAAGCTACCGAAAATTTGTGCTTCAAAATTTAAAAACAAAAAAACGTACTTTGTATCTGATAGGGATTTTCTAATAATCATGCTATGTTGATATTTTTATATTACCATTTGCCTCATATACAAAGTTTACTCTATTGCTCTATAGCTTATTTTCTCTATGAAAAATATGAATATACTTTTCATTTTTAAAATTAATTTTCATCTTTGGTTAAAAGTTTATCAATTGGAATTGACCTTAAAAATTTATTTGCTGATTCTAGTATAAGTGGTTCCCATATAGATTTTGTTTGAGGTAAAACAGTTTTAACTAATTCTGGCCAATATTGATTTGCAAAATCTAATACAACAGTATCTAAAAATCGGAAAAAAATTAAAATTATAAAAATTTATATGAGTTTAAAAAATATTAATTATAATTCATACTTATTGCTGGATCTGGGAATAAACCAGTTGCAAATACTTTTAAATCACCAATTTCTGGTTCAACATCAAAATTTTTCAAAACTAAATGTTTATTTCCATTAATTAATTCAAAATCTCCAGATGTTTTTGTTGTAACGCTTACTTCACCTTATAAACAAAAAAAAAAATTATTAATAATTTTATAAAATTTTAATTAAAAATTTTTTGTATATTTAAATATGTACATACTTAATGTCAAATTAAAATATCCTTTTGGTCTCATTTTTAATTCATTAATTTTAACATCAGCTTTATAATTTCCTTCAATATAAAGTCTTGGAAAATATACTAACATTGTACTTGTTAAACCATTATCTAATACATGTGTATCAACTTTCTTAACACTAGATTTTGAAATTCCATATACATTAACATTTTTTATAATTAATGTACCACCAACTGGACCACTTGTATATTGATAACGACCATCTGGTATTTTAAGAGGATCTAATGGTGGAATATTAAGTATTTTAGATCCTTTCTATTTTTAAATGAAAGAAAAAAGAAAAAAAATTTTAAAATTATAAAATATTATAATAATTAAAAAAATATTTACATGTAAAATCGGAAGTTGTTGATTAATAGCTGCTTTAATACAACCACTTAGATCTGGATCATTCTGTTTACATGTTGGAATACCTTCAGCTACAAATGAACAACAAAATAAAAAATGAAATTAGTTGTAATAAGTACGATAAAACATAATTTACTAATTTCAATTTCAATATAAAATTAGTTCATTTAGGACATATGATTAATAGTACTTTTAAGACTAATCTACACTCTCTTATAAACTTCACACTCTCTTATAAAATTTTTAAATTAGTAAGGTGCTATAACATTAATTTTGGCTCATCATGTGTTTATTTTGATTTCTTATAGTGTACTCATTCTACATAAAACAACAAATATCTTGTTTTGAAAATTTTTAATTATACTTATGAATCCAGACAATAACTTTTATGTTAATAAACTAAGCAGTTCTCCTTGATCTAGACAATAAGCATTATATTATATAAATTAAAAAATTTTGTTTTGTTTATTTTGACTCCACTACCATCATCTTCAATTTAAAAGTGCTTATACATTTATACGAGTATATGTATGTAGGCACTTGAATATGCAACTGGTTTTACAATTTTAAACTTGTCAAAGGAACAATATTTCATGCAAATTAATTTCTTTTTATATTTTATAATAGCAATTACGTGCCATCAGTAAATTTAATTTGGGGGTCTGGTCTGGGAGCAACAGGGAAACAATTGATTGGTCGCTGACCCAGTTGCGCAACTGTTGAGTTCCTGGGCAAGTGCTTACTCTACCTCCGCGTGGTGGCCCCTGGTAACTGTTCTACTAGCACCCGCTGGCAGAATAGGCCGAAACTGTAAGTGCGAACTCGTCCCCGGCTTGGGGTTGGCGTAAGGTTAACTGCCTTACCCGTAAAAAGCAGAAGTTATGGGAGACTCAAATGTAGCCTCGGATAAACTGGTTGGATCTATTGGTAACAGACGTAAGAAATGTTTTAAGGACTATGATTTACGGATTTGTACCTGGAATGTAAGAACACTCTACAGCCCAGGTGCATCTAACAATTTGGAAAATGTTCTCGTGCAGTATAAGGCAGACATTACTGCAATTCAGGAAATACGTTGGATAGGATCTGGAGTTGTAAGGAAAAAGAAATGCGACATTTACTATAGCTGCCATAAAAAGCATCACATATTGGGATGCGGATTCGTGGTTGGTGACGGGCTTAGACGGAACGTGATTGGATTTAGCCCAATTAATGAGCGTCTGGCCGTTATCCGCATTAGAGCTAAATTTTACAACATCAGCCTAATATGCGCTCATTCTCCTACCAATGAGGCAGACGACTCCGTCAAGGAGGATTTCCACGACCTTCTTTACAAAACATATGGAGACTGCCCACGATATGATGCTAAAATTTTGTTAGGAGACTTTAACGCGAAGATCGGTCAGGAAGAAATTTTTGGAAAAACTATTGGCGCCCATAGTCTTCACCACACGACCAACGACAATGGGTTCCGTTTGATCGATTTGGCAGCGTCGTGCAATATGGTTATAAGTAGCACATATTTCCCGCATCGAGATATCCACAAGGCAACTTGGCTAGCCCCGGATGGTCGCACTACCAACCAAATAGACCATTTTTTGACGGACGCTCGACATTGTTCAAGCGTTTTGGATGTGCGTAAGTATAGGGGAGCAAATATCGACTCTGACCACTTTTTAGTTGCGGCAAGATTCAGAGCACGAATATCCAATGTTAGAAAGCTGCGCGGCAATTCAAAAAGGAAAGTCAACATTGGAAATTTGCAATCCAGCGAGCTAGCCGACGCCTTCAAAGAGCAACTTTGCCAGAAACTTCTTTCCGCACCTCCTGCTTTTAGGTCCGTGGACGAACAATGGAAACATTGCGCAAGCATCATTAGAGATGTGGCAGAGACCATCTTGGGTTATAAACCGCCGCCTCTAAGGAACCCTTGGTATGATGCTGAATGTTCGAGGAGGACGGATGAAAAAAATGAGGCATACAGGAAAGCGCTGCAACGGAAAACTAGGGCAGCGCAAGAGGAGTACAAGGCAAAGAGGAGGGAAGAGAAAAAGGTCCTGAGGAGGAAAAAACGTGACCATGCTAAATCCCAGCTCTTGGATATCGAGAAACATCGAGACAGAGGCGAAGTAAGAAGCTTTTACAGAAAAGTTAAGCAGCTTTCGGCTGGATTTAAGCCTTACACATATGCGCTGAACGATGGTGACGGAAATATGGTGACCGATGCAGAAGGGATATTACAGACGTGGAAACAGCACTTCGAACAGCTGTTAAATAGGGATATCACCGAAGACGATGCAACAACATCGAACACTCCGGTTAACAACGAAGAGGTATTACCACCTAGCCTCGAAGAAGTTAACAACGCCATTCAAAAGCTGAAGAACAACAAGGCGGCTGGCTCTGATGGTCTGCCAGCGGAGTTGTTCAAGGCTGGAGGTGAGATATTGGTAGGGAGCATGCACCAGATCATCGGCCGCATTTGGATGGAGGAATGTATGCCCGATGAATGGAGTGTTAGCATCATACAGCCCATCCATAAGAAAGGTGATACCACGTCCTGCAACAATTATCGTGGAATATCCTTAATAAATGTTGCTTATAAGATCCTATCCAGCATATTGTGCGAACGGCTGAAACCACTCTGCAATAACATCATAGAAAACTACCAGTGTGGTTTTAGACCAGGGAAATCTACCACGGACCAGATTTTCGCACTCCGCCAGATCCTGGAGAAGACCCACGAATTTCAAATCGACACACACCATTTATTCATCGATTTTAAATCTGCCTATGACAGCATACATCGCACCGCATTATATGAGGCGATGATAGATTATGGGTTCCCGAGCAAACTTATTCGATTATCACGGATGACGCTAGAAAACACCAGATGTGCGGTGGTAGTTGGAAAAAATACGTCTGAGGTTTTTCGAACGCGTACCGGGTTTCGGCAGGGGGACGCGCTGTCATGCGACTTTTTCAATCTTGTTCTGGAGCAAGTAGTGCGCCGCGCGGGTGTTAACACAGAAGGCACTATCTTCTTTAAATCCGTTCAGCTGTTGGGTTTCGCTGACGACATCGACATTATCGCTCGTTCGCGGCGAGCGGTCATCGAAGCCTTTACACAGATTGATCAAGAAGCAAAAAAGGTGGGTCTAAATGTGAACGAGGACAAAACAAAATATATGCTGTCGACAAACAGGCCGGCGGCGGCCCATCATATTGGCCAAAACATCACCATTGGCTCATATAACTTTGAGGTAGTTAAGGAGTTCATCTACCTGGGCACAAACGTAAATTCCACGAACGACATCAGTGTGGAAGTGAGACGCAGGATTACCCTGGCAAACCGCTGCTACTTCGGTTTGCAAAAACAGCTGGGTTCAAAACTCCTGTCCAGAAACACTAAGTTGCAGCAGTACAAAACGCTTATTCTTCCGGTTCTGCTCTATGGCTCGGAAGCTTGGACATTGTCTGGGACAAGTGAGCAATGCCTTAGTGTTTTTGAGCGAAAGATTCTTCGTCGCATTCTTGGTCCTGTGAATGAGGGGGGGGTCTGGAGGAGAAGATATAACGCCGAACTCTACGAGCTGTACAGCGACATAGACGTGGTTAGCAAAATTAAAATCAAAAGGCTACACTGGCTAGGTCATGTGGCGCGAATGTCTGAAAGCGCACCAGTAAGGAGAGTATTCGACTCTAGACCCGAGGGAACAAGACGTCGAGGTAGACCGCATCTTCGCTGGGGAGACGAAACATCGGCGGATTTAAAAAGGCTTCGTGTCTCCAACTGGAGGAGAGTCGCCCAGGACCGAGGCGAGTGGAAGAAAATGCTGAGTCAGGCGCAGGACCTTCATGGTCTGTAGGGCCTAGCAAAGAAGAAGAAAGAAGAAGTAAATTTAATTATATTTTCTATATATTTTCGCAACTCCTAAAGATTATTATTAATTATTTGCAATATTTCTTTCATTTAAAATTAAAATCTAACCTCATTTTTTTTTTCATTTTATTTTCATTATTGCATAAATTTTTAAAATGTTATCAGATGTCACTCGAATTTATATGCTATGCATAACGTATGCATACTACTAGTACTTATAACATACTTGATTTAGGTTCACGGTCATCGGAAACTTATAATTTTAGTTTATTTGTATCCGGTGTTTTATTTTAATACTTTTATTGTGTCTTTATACTTGGATCTTCATCTATACAATATGCTTTTTGCATCAAAAGAAAATAAGAAAATTATTTATTTTTTCCTTTATTTTTTTTTTGCATTTATTGTTGCGCTAATTATTTGCTTTTATGTAAAATCCACTTTTTGCTTGTCAAACCTTATGTAACGTTCAAATTTAAGGTGGTCAAGAACACGCAAATTTATATTTTTTATACACTTTGATTGCCGTTTCTTCTTAGACATATTTCTTAGTCTTAGACATATATATTTTGTATTTTGCATTTCAATTATAATATTTTTGAGTTTAAAATTAAAAAAAAAAATTAAAATTGCAAAACTGAATAAATTTGGTTTTTTAAAAAATAAGATCAAATAAGAATTTATTAAAGTGGTCTTGATGGTCAAATTTTTATTTATTTATTTATTTTAAAATTTTTTTTTTAATTTATTTAAAAACAAAAATTAATATTTTTGTTAATTATGAATAAGTAATTTTTGCGACTCATTTAAATTCCTATACGTCAAAAACTAAATAAACAAAATTCATGAAAAAATCAAAATTGAGGGCTCAATCACCTAGATAAGAAGAAAATGTTGCTGTGCTGTGACTTTATTGAAATATTTGTATTGCAATATTGTATAACATTCTTATAACACTCTTTTATACTGCAATTAATTATTAATATACGTTTTAGAACCGGTAAAGGTAATCCATAAGAACTGGTTTACTATTTATGGCCATAATAAGTATATGCTGCAAATAAATTGTGAGAACGAGATTTAGATATTTGAAAATATTAAACAGTTGAGCCTGGGTAAGAAAACGAAATTGAATAAAAAGAAAATTTCCATATTTAAAAATTGTTGCACGATTCCTTCAATTGAAAATTAATTGTTTTTTACTACTAGAAAAAAATGTTTTGATAACTTGAAATTCCTCTTCACAAGTTTCAATTTTATATTTTGTACAAAATCTCATATATACATATATAATGTGCTTTTGACACAATTAATACTTCAACAAATTATTAATATATTCCTACAAATAATTATGTGATAAATATTGTGATTATCTTAAAACTATTGAAAATTATTATAACACTTATTGATTGCGATGATAATTATAATTGAGTTTTTTATATGTACATATATACATACATATCTAAGCTCTATTGGTACTTCTATTGATCTATATAGAATGACTGAACTGAAAATGACTTCGTAAAATCCACTGACATTTCAGTTGAAATAATTTTAGTTGCAAGTTACAATCGTAACGTAAAGGTACAAAAATTAAATAAAAACCATGATTATTATAGCCAAAAATTGCTGCTTTAAGCTAATTCTTAATATTGCGAACTTCTTAATTTCGAAAGATTTTCCCTATACATTTTTATTTCAATAAATGCTTTAAAGAACGAACGAACACAAATCTATAAAATAATTTATTAAATAATTTTACTTACGTAACACAAATTCATTTCCATCTGTTGTTACAGAATCACTTTCTGGCAAAACTGCACTGGATACAAAATTTAAAGTAACAACAACATTAAATATTAAAATTCCAATATTTTTAACTCTCATTTTTATTTTATTTTATTTTTTTTTTAGTTGTACTCGATTTACTTTTATTAATTTTAATTTATTTATTTCCAAAATCTATAAATCATATAAATTGACTATAAATAGAAACCTTTTTATAGCTAAAAATAAATAAAATTTAAAATAAAAGACGAAAGACTTTTAAAGTTCACTTTTCAAATAACCACAAACAATTCAAACTTTTCAACAGTTTTGCTCTCTTATTTATATTTTTGTAAAACCACGACACAACCGTCTATATACCTATTTCTTTTGTAATATTCTTCATTATTTTTTTTAACTATAAACAATTCCCCCCTAAAATATACGTAAAAAAATTATCGCAATTCATGAAGTTTTATTGTTTAAAAAAATCTTAACGTTGGTAAATAATAATAAAAAAAAACAAGAGAGAACATGAAACAAAAAAAAAAACTAATCTCAAAATTTTAACATTATTTAAAAGCCGGCATTCCCACTTCATCAGGTTGGCACAGTAAGTGTATAAATAACGAAAAAAAAAAACTAAGAAATACGACCAGAAAAACACAATATTGTTTTTTAATTTTATTTTGATTTTAAAGCTTTTGAATATTCACTTATTATACAATAAGCTTTGCATAGACAAAAAATAATCATAATTTTGTAAATATTGGTACAATTGATGATTTGACTCTTTCCGTCCAAGTAAAATAAATCTTCATTATGATATCTAATAATTCAAAACACGATAAAATTAAAAATTAATTATATTTGAAAATTAACAACAAACATAAGAATCAAAATTCAGAAATTGTTAAACAAACTACATAATATGCGAAACATTAATTTGGATGAGATAAAATTGCTGAGACAAAATCGTTCTCAAAATAAATAATTATAGAATAATGTAGCCATCACACTCAGTTTTAATTAAAGTAAATAATTACAGGGTATCTCGCGTTAAAACGATGTAGCATAAAATTATATAGTTAAGTACTTGAAAGTACTAATAAAATAAGTCAGTCAAAGTACATACATATTATATTAGCTTGTTAAAATAATTTGAATAATTTTGATAAAGATTTTGGGAAATTATTTGAAATTATTACTGAAATATAAATATGTATTCTATATAGCTCATTCGAAAATAATCACTCCTCTCAACTTTTCTTAAATAAAGTTAAATGCTAAGCTCACGAATATAGTTTTAAATGTGTATTTCTTACTTTTGCAAGTGGACCTTTGGATATTTAATTGCACCAATAGTAAACTTATTTTTTCATCCTTTTAATAACATACTTGTTTTCTGTAACACATTAGTAATAATACTAGTTCTTACACAACAAGTATTTTTTTAACAACTTCAACTATTTAAATTCATGCATATATGTAATTAAATTTGAATTGCACCTTTTATGGAGCACAATATATATAAAAATTATATTTCATAGATTTTCATGGATTTATGTTCTAATATAATTTATATATGAGTAAAACAAAATTATCATATACACAGTAAATACTAGTAGAAGTAATTGCAATCAAAATAACCTTGACTCTATAATATTACTAGATATATACATATTTAAAATATTAAAAATTTTATAATTACTTATGAGGTGTTGATTTAGTATAAATAAAATATAGACTTAAAATTTTAATTAGAAGTTTATTTAAACATTTTTAAAATTGAAATCAACATAATTGTACAGTTTCGAAAGATGTTACCATATTATTATATTTTATTCCCACATATTAATTATTCCTTTATTCACATTTTACATAATATAGTAAATTTTGCTATTTACACAACTGAGTGTGCACTTTTGTTTTACTGTAATACAAATTGCAGTATCTTTTGGTAATTAAGAAGTTTTTTGGTTTTTACAAATTAAGTTTCTTTTTTGTTATTTTATATTTCGTTTATACATTTATAACCATAACTGTTCAACTGTAATAAAATGATTGGTAAACGATATCAATACGAGGATTAGAGCTAGAGTCGAAAATATTTTACCCATGTGTAAATACAATTGGATATTGTAATAAAGTCAATCGATTACTTAAATAATTGCTTGTTCTACTTGATAATATTTTAATTAAGAAATTTCAAATGAAAACCTAAACACAATTATCATTCTATTTTAAGAAAATAATTTTAAAATAAAAAATCATAATTTAATTATTAGTGAATTGCAATAATTATGAGGTTTAAGTAAAAAAAACTTGTTTTAAATTTTTTTTGTAACATATCGAGTAAAGGTTAAAAAGAAAATATAAGATAATTATTGCAATGACTTAAATAATTGTTAGCGTAAAAACAAAGTTGACGGACATTGAACATCCTTTAGATTTAAAATAAGAAAATGAAAAAAAAAATTATTACATATTTTGTGTGTAGAGCTATTGCTCAAGTATATTATTTTTAAGTATAATTAACCTTGACATAAAGCAACGAAATTTGAAAAATGAAAAAAAAAAATAAGTAAAGATAAACATTAAAATAATTTTTCAAATGAATTGAATCGACGTCTTTATTTACACGACTTGAATTTTTAATAAAATTATAAGAAATTAAAATTATGTGTATTTCCACAATACTTACGTTATATATTTTTATTTTATGTAAAATTTTGTCAGCACATCGAAAATATTCAAGTACAAGACTCTTAAAGAATTAAAAATTAACAAATAAATATTATACTTCCAGTTTGCACTTATAATATAAAAAATATGAATCAGATTAATTTATTAAGAATTCTTTAAGTAGTAAATTGTATATTTTTTGGAGAATTACATGTGATTGTAGTATATATAGGTAATTTTAAGTTTATATTTGGGTAGATTAGTAAATAGTTTTTTTAAATTTAACTAAATAGAATTATTAAAAGGCACTTAAAATTTATAAAATGATATAAAAATCAAGTTTCTCATTTAAATCTTTTAAATTTCCTTGTAATTGTTTTGCATTTATAAACAAACATTTTATGCTTCCTGTAAGTATGCTTGTGTAGAAGTTAAATTTTAAAATTGAGAATAACCTTTGAATTATTACAATACGAGTAATAGACAATTTTATAACCTTATATAAATTTAATCGAATAAAAATTCATGTATATACCTGCATATAATTGATTTAATTATTATTCTTTTGTATGCATGTATATACATATATTGTATATTTCGAATTATATTCCAAAATTTCTTTAAATTTGCATAAGTCGATTGAAATGGTTTTCAAATTTTTAATTCTTGACCTCTATTAATTTTTTTTGTTGCTCAGTTTCAATTATATACACTTGACTTAAAAATTTAATGGTTAATTTTTTTTTAATTTAAAAAATTTTCCAATAATGGAAAATTTTATATTTTGTTATATAAGTTTCGTTTCATGTAAAGAACAAAGACTGAATATACATTTAATACACAGAAATTGTTCCAAAAAAACATTTATGCAGTTTGATTACTTTGATTAGTTTAAATAGATTTCAGAATATAAAACAGGAAGAAATTCATTCAAAAATCCAGACCCAATATAGTTCGTTTAACATTTTGTCTATTGTATAATTTATAACTGTACATATTACATACTTGGAATAAAAGTATAAGTTGTGGAAAATTCAATTATAGAAAAAGAAATACAATAATAAAAAATTAGCTTTTAATAAATATTGTTACGCTTTATTGTTACAACAAAAAGTAGACAAAAAAATCTCTGAATAGGTACTTTATAAACCGAATTGGAATTTCATCATAGTAATTTACCGTTAATCGAACCTTTATAAACAATATAAATAATATAAGGTATCTACCTTCGTAAATCACGTAATTTTAGTATACATATGTTTCTATTTGAATGAATTTGGCTCAACTTTAACAGAAAATTAAATAATACGTTACTTGATGCTTTAATGAAATTATTATAATTAACATATACATATACATATTTTTTAAATAAAAAAAATCCATTCATTTATTTCTTTTTCACGCACAGAAAGTTTGAAATAACAATATAATATTAATATCTAAGTATCTATATCTTTTAAAATTTAATCTATCAATCCAGTTTCACATTTATAGGCATCATGTCCCATTTCAAAAATGGGATAAGTTAAACCCATTCTTCTTGCTATATCCATTGCTGTTTCATCTGAAACATTTAATGCATTTGCATCTATATTCCTATCCATTAATAAAACCGTTGCAGTATTGCGGCAGTTCGAAACTGTTGCAGCTATATGTAAAGGTGTTTGTGAACCTTCAGATTTTGCATTTACATCAGCACCATGTTGCAACAGTAGAGCAGCGCTTTGAGCATTACTCCATTTACATGCCGAATGTAATGGTGTCCATTCCATAGTTGTTCGAGCATTTGGATCAGCCCCATATTTTAAAAGTAATGTTGCTATATCCGTAAAATTATTGTAACATGCTCTATGTAAAGGTGTATATTGATCATCGTCACTTGAATTTACACACTCAGGATCTAATTTTAAAATTTCATGTATTACATTGATTTTATTTTGATCTGCAGCCCAAAGTATTTCTTTTTCAAGAGTCTCTAAGAAGAAAAAATTTGTAATCAACAATCTTAAATATATAGTTATTAATTAATTAAAATATATTAAAATGTTTAGTTTATGAAATTTACCATGAGGATTTTTTTCTTCTTCCACAACATCGTCATCCCAACCGCTAACAAACATTCCAGGTTTAATTTTGTGGGAACTTTCCATTAATTTTTCATATTGAGTTTTATCCTCGTCCGAGTCGTAGTCTTCCATTTTAATTGTAAAAAAATTTACGTTTTATAAGTTTCACAGTTGTTTAAAATAAATTAACAGGTAAAAACAAAACTGAAATGTATACTTTTATATGACATCACATTTGTCAATATCATATGGAGTTGAATTTACTACTTCAATTGATAGACTTATGCCAAAGATATAAAATAGAATTCATGTTCACAATGTTTCCCTTCTGCTATTCACAATGATTATAATTGCTCCACGCAAATTATTTTGAATTTGGTATAATGTAGAAATGCGTTTAAACTTCAAATATTTTGTTTAGGTTTTTTCCTGAGACAAAAATCCGATATTTAAAAATTAAATTTATAATAAACTTGTCCCCTTCACAGTATTTATTGGAGAAAATCAAATTTGTTTTTGTTTATAAAATACTAAAATGTCTAATGAAAATAGGAAACCACGAAAACGTCAAAAAGAATATTGCGGAAGAAACTCCTTACGGATTATATTGTTAACTTTTAAGTTTCTAAAATTTAAAATTATTTTCCAAAACAAATTTATACTGTCAAATTTTAAGTTTGCGTTTTACATATTTGAATTGATAATAAGCAGATTAATTTGACATTAGGAAAAATAAAACACAATCAAAAAAACAGTTGCGAATGCATTTTAAGATGTGCGGTATTTAGCACGAGCGCTACACGCTTTGCGTTGATTTAGGAATATGCCTGGAAAAAAATAAACCTAAACAACTTTTTGAAGAAGTAGAAATTAATTTCTTTTTTACTTCTATGGCTGTAAGATATTATTTAAATAATTTCAATTAATTGATTCAAATTGTGAATAATTTCAATTTACTCAAAAGTTTTTGGCAGTAAATGGAAGTGAAACGATTTTTAAATATAAATTGTTTAATTGACAATTTTTACAGAATTTCAAACTGTCAATTTAATCAATTTTTAAGAATTTCAAACAACTGTAAGCGGAAAATCGCTCTTGTTCTGTTTTCAACATAATTGAATTAAGATTTAATTTGGTCTCGTTTTTGCTAACTAAAAAATTTATGCATTAGATTTAGTTAGTTTTATTTAAACTGTTGCGGTTTTATAGTACAATCTTAAAATTGTAGTACATGCACTTCGTTAAAATATGAGAATAGTGTTGACGTATATTTAAAGTTTTTGACGTTCCTATGTGTCAACCATTTTTATTTTTAAAGTATATAATATCAAATTAAATATATCCGAATATTTTTGCATTTACTTGCGAAGAAAATCTTATTGTAAATCAAAATTATCAAAAAATAATTTCTATCCAATTGACAGTTATGTCACAATCAAATCCAGGTAAATATTTTATTGAAGGATTGTACTATTTTTTGTGAAAAATTGCTTCAAGCATCACAAAATTTATTCTTTTTTAATTCTAAATTTTATCTGAATTATAGGGAGATGGGTGAAATTTTTTACGGCAGCTGGGATTCCAGCTCAAACATCAGCCTCATATGCACATACATTTGTAGAAAACCGAATACAACAAGATATGTTAATGGACCTCAATAAAGAATACCTCCGTGAGATGGGAATAACACCAATGGGTGATATAATAGCTATTTTACGGTAAAAATATATTCTTTATAAATACCCTCTTACCTTTTTTCCCCATTCAAATTTCATAGATATGCCAAAATCGTTCAAGAACAAGTTGCACGAGAAAAAGTTCTGTCTAGTGAAGTAAGAATTCCAATAGCAACAGTGCCAGCTAATCCAGTTGCATCTGAAAAACGAATAATATCCTTGAAAAAACGTAAACTATATAAAATATTTTTTCAAATTCTTTTAAATAAATCTTTTATATAGAACCTCAAAAAGAATCAACAAATCAGTATCAAGAACCAGTTGCATCTCATAGACAATCTGATCATGAATTAAATAGGCATGGTATGTTGACCATAAATCACAAAGAATCTTCTGTAAAAACACATAGAAATGCGGACTCATTATCTTTGTCGTCCTTGTCACAACAAACAATGTGTAAGTGTAATTTTATTTTTACTTGCAAAAATAATATTTTCTGTTCACAGTATATTCTGATAAGGAATCGTTAACCAAACCAAAAATATTTGAAAGGCTTCAACGACCAGATATAATAAGAGATATTGCTGAAACACGAGATGATGAAGGGGTTGATGATAGTGATAGAAGTGATGACACAAGTGATGGGATGAAAAGAAGGGAGGGACCACGCGTAAGAATGGTTGGAATAGATGGAAAAATTGCAAAAGCATCAACATCTTCTATTTTTGCACGACTGGGGAAAAAGGATGATCCAAATACAAAAAACGCAGTAAAGACGATAACAAGCATTTTAAAAACCTCTCCAAAGAATGGGGTGAAATTTTTATATACTGTCTATAATAGATTTATTGGTTTTATTGTGATTTTTAAATTTTTAGGTCTCGGGCAACTCAAAGAACATTGTGAGAACCAAATCTAGGGTCATATTAGTAAAAAAAATTCCTGCCAAAGCCACTATGCTTTTTCCAGATGAGCCAGTTAAAATGGATACAGGAGAAAAAAGTGTTTCATTTTCAGAAGAAGATGAAGTTTTGGAAATAGCATCTCGTAATTGGCCAAAAAGGGATTATAAATCAAGAAAACAAGGAGTTAAATCACGTTTAGGCCTGAATGGTATAATAATTTCAAGTTCTCAAAAATATAATTTAATTATGATAAATTTGTATTGGTTTCACAGCTTCTATGTTGAAAACTCGTAAAACAATTAAAATGAAAGTAACAACTAATAAAAAGTCAAGTCCCCTGAAAGCCTCTACTGCTGCTATCGGACTGAAATCAGATGAAATAATACGCAAAGGCCAGGTACCTGTTCATAATAGACTTGGCAATAAAAGTGGTAACACATCTGTTGTTAATTTAACAAACCGAATTGGCCGTGTAAGTTTATCATCAGTTAAAAAAATACCAGATCGACAGTCAAGTGTTTTTGATCGCTTGGGTTTTGGAAATCGTTAAAAAAGCTATTATAAAAGAAAAATTAAGAAAACTTATTATATATTCGTTTTCAAATTTTTAAATTTAGTTTGTTTGTACGACATTTTAATTTGATAATTGAAAATAAATCAAACAACAATCTCCTTACAAAGAAGATGATGTCCACAAAACCCAACGAGTACAAATATAGAATAATTAATTCAGTAACGTTTCAAAAAAAAAATATTATTTTATGTACTATTTCATTTTGCGTATAATGTTTAATGTTATAATTTAATGTTATAATTTAATGAGAACAATATTGACACGGTAATTTTGTTTGTGGAATAATACTTTTCTAATCTAAATCCTTTCATTTATACATATATTTTTATTAAAATATAGATGCCAATTTAATAATATAAATTCATAATTTTTATAGTTTAAAAAAATGTAACTAAATTAATTATACTATGTTTTATCTCGTATAAAAATGCTATGAATTTCCTCAATAAAAGAAAAATTTAAGATTTTTAGATTAGTGTGTACTAATAAAAAATGATAGAAAATTTAAAAAAAAGTTTGTAAATTCTAACTTTAGATCATAAGTTTAATTTTTGGCAAATTGTCAGAAGTAATTTAACAAAATAAAAAGAAAAATAAATTTGAAACTGTTGTTCAAAACAAAAATGTTTTAATAATTAATTGATAAAATACTTGAAAATAGTTTAAGTAATGCATATAAGACTTATATTAGCAAAAGAAAGTTTTGCATCTATTCTTTTTACTTCATTTACATTTGGAATATAGATTGAATGAAGAATCGGTAACTGTTTCACACCTAAAGCTTGATACAAAACCGAACTCTAATTTTTATTTTGAATCTCACAGCATTCTTTGCTGAATTCAGTTTCTTTAAAATTAAAATACTATTTAAGGTTTTAGATATTATATTTCAAACCAAAAAAGAATGATTATTTACAAGTGTGTATTAACCTACATGTCGGTGTCTAATCTAACTTGTTATTCAAATTTTTTAATTATGCGAATTAAATTTGACGTTTTGGTTTCTTTTGTAATAAGACCAGCTCCTTTTAAGAAAAGTTGGCTATTTTAAAATTTTTGCTATAATATTTATTTTGCTATAATATTGCTTATACATATGTATTTCAGCTTTCATTGATGTTATAAAAAAATAATTTCAGTATAAGGTCAGTCATCAAAGGGCCAGAATATCAAAAAATTCTTCTTCTAAATTCAGTAAGTATGGTCGTCTGGTTTTTTATTTTTTATTCACTCATATTTTCAAGTCAAAATTTGAGCTAAAATCTTAAAAATTTATATTTTCATATTTTAATAGCGGCAACAATAATATAATTTTTACATTATCCATTTAATATGTGTTATGTTTGTGTATAAAAAAAATTTACAATAATATAACAGTATTAGATTATTTTAGATTTATACTGTTATATCAGTATAAACCTAATATCAGTACTGTTATATGCACATACATGTATATATATATATATATATATATGATTGGATTTGTTTGTATTTGAGTATAAAAGTGTGTGAATTTTTTTATTTTTGCTTTTTTTCCACTTTCGTGTTTTATTTTATTCCATTCATTTTTTTTTTTTCATATTATTTTTTATAATGACAATATTTTTACAGCATTTTATTTTTTTTATTGTGTTTTGTTTCAGTCAGCTGTAGAATTTAGACGTGCGCAGGTCGTAAGTTTTGAGTTGCGGCTCGGGAAGAAAAAGAATATTTTATATAAAATTATAAAAGAAGAACACAACAACAAATTACAAAGTAAAAAAAACTTTGATAAAAGTCTACACATATAAAATTTAATTTAGTAGCTACAAATTTTTCTTTTTTAAATAATTTATTAAAACAAAAAATATAGAAAATATAAATAATATGAGTAAAATAATCTAATGTATAACATAAATAATTGTTTAAAATATCTTATTGAGAAAAACAAAAGTTTTTTATTTGAATAAAAATAAAAGTTTGTGAATTTTTTTTTTGTGTGTTTTTGTGGGTTAATGAACAAACGTTATTAGATTTTTTCCTTATTATTTTATATATGTGCCTAAATACAAATATTTAAAATATATAATATATATTTTTTATTGCTTAAATAATATACCTATTTAGTATATTGCTTACTTACCTACACAAAATATTATCTTGGCTGAATGTATGTACGTATATAGTACTCTAGTACTCATAGTTACATAGATTGTGTTTGCTTTCATTCTTTGGAAATATTCTAATAGGTACCTACCTACCTACCTAGTTCTGATAGTTTTTATCTCCTTGCATAAATTGGTGTCTCAATTTATTTTATTTAAAAATGTAATAAGAATTTAGAAATATTAACCGGAAGTTAATAAAAATTTATTAATTTTTTTGTGTAGGTTCCAATCTATCTAATCACTTTGCAAAAATAAAGGCATTTTACATTCTTAAAATATAGAAAAATTGCAGCTACAAAATACTTATAAAATTTTTTAATAGGTACTAAGTATGTGTGTAGGTACTAGAGAAAAAAATTAGTATAAGATTTTAACTTTGTTGCTTTTTTTTTTAGAAAAATAGAAGATGTAATTAGACTTAGAAGTGTTTGTGTGTACATAAAAATTTGATGAAGAGCAAAAAAAAAAAAAAAAATTTTATTGATTTTATGTTTTTTAATATTTGTACTCGTACATTTGTATATACCGTTTTGTTATAAATAAGGCACATATATACATATCGTATAATACCTATTGTATATGCATGGAACATATGTATGTACTTAAATATATATACATGAAATGAAAAATTCTACCTAAACATAAAAAGTCAACATTTTATAAACGACAACATAAAAAACAAAAATAATAAACAAAACAATAAAAAAATCAAATACAAACAACAAAAGAAAAAGAACAGTAAAAAAAATAATTTTATGGTGTTGCAGATGCTGTATGCAGCCTGCAACTAACCTGCAACTTTTGTCTTTTTATCGAAAATAATTTTGATTTTTTTTTTTTTTTTTTTTGTAATGGTAAAAAACTCAATATTACGCTATATAAAATACAAAGTACAGTATATAGCGTGTTTCATACATATTTATTATTTTGGCGAATTGAATATAAATTTGTAGAGAAACAAAAAATAAATAACAAAATAATAATTCTTGCAGAATGAGTGAATTTTCTCCATTAATTTTCTAATACAAAATATTGAATACTGTGTGCAGTGTGTCGCTTCGAGATACTTATTATTTATTTATGATCAGAAGATAGAATAATAATAATATATTTACCTATGCACATATATTATTGAGTAAATATTTATACACTCTAAATATTTCGTATATAGTGCGTTATTAAATTCTATAAGTACATAATAAGCATATATATGTATGTATTTATGAAGGTGAATAAATATATGTATATATAAAATGTTTATTTATTAATCGAATATAATAATAAGTGTTTTGATAAGTGTTTTAATATCTACATATGTAAAATTAAATTTAATTCTATTTAATAATATTATTTGAAAATCTTTTTGGTTTTGATTTGAAGAATTGAACAAATTAAATAAACATTTTAATTAAAAATAAGTACTTATTTAAATTTTAATACACAAGAAATATATGTATGTATGTAAATGTGAATAAAATACTTGATATTTAAATGTTTTTAATTTAATTATGTAAACAATATACCTACTAAGTATTGTGATTCAAAAACCTAATTAATAATCAATTATTTACCTGTATAGATTATATAATTTATAAATAAGTACATATAAAAACATAAGTAAATTGCTTATATAATAAAAAAAATCTACATAATTCTACAAAAGTGTTTGATATGTTAATGTAGTGTTTACACATGCAGCTGCAGTTTGGCAGATAGTAAAAGAGAAAAAAAACGAAACAGGAAAATAACTTATAAAAACAGGTGGGTTTTTAATTAAATTTTTTTATTTGTTTACTTATCTAAATAATGTTTGATTAAAATTACATAAATATTTTGTTTTGTTAGTTGGCAGGTACCTATGTATATGTATGTATGAATGCATATCTATTCTTATAACGAATTATTGAAGAATATTTGATTATTAAATGTTTATAAATAATAAAATTAACAAAATAAACTACTTACTTACTTAATTAAAAGACAACGTATCTGTAATTTTTGAAATCTTATTGAAATTTGTTCTATTTATCCACTAGCCTAGTAAATAGTATTACACCTTGAATTTTGTTTATTTGTATACTTAGTTATTCGACAATTTCGTTTATAAAAGGAGAAAAATTACCTAAGTGGGTACATTTTTACAAATGATATAAGTACTTACAAGATATAAGTAGAGGTATATAAATGTATGTATACACATATATGTCAACCTATTTGAATAGAAACATAATTAAATTTTTTTGCGGATTTTGTTTTACTCCTGTAATATTGGAATTTTTATAAAAAATTGTCCTATTCTATATGGACATATTTAGTTACTTTTGTTTTTACAAGTTCCTTTTAATAAATCAGGGTAATTTGACATTCTAATTAAATACTTAAATAATTATGCATCGTCCAAATTTATTTTAGAATTTTATAATTTAACTAATTAGGGTATTTTGTTTTATTTTTACGAAATTTTCACTTAAATTTTTAACATTTCTAAAAACTAAATCCTTATTTTTTATGATTTTAAATCCAACTACAAGTATCAATATGTGCATGTTGTAGATTCATATTTTCTATTTTAAAAAATAAAAATGTTAAGAATAAAATTTGAATTTTTAATAAGATATAAAATTTAATTTAAAAAGAATTATTTATTCTATATATATATATTCAATTCCAAATTCAAAATAATAAAGCGGTGTCCTTTAAGTACTATTCCATACATACATTTACTTAAGTACATTTCATTTGATATTAAAATACATAGAAATGTTCCACGTACATATGTATGAACTTATTTATTTATTAATGGATACTAAATGTTATGCAGTTCGCCCTTGCTATACTTAAAAGAAATTTCGTCTGCATACAATTACATGTTTATATAAGAAATGTCCTTGGTGTTTTGCTTAAATGATAGATTTTCTAAGAGAATATTTTTTACAAAACGCATGCATTTTGTGTAATATATTTGCTGTACTGTAGTGTATATTTAAAATATGAATGCAAATGTGTAGGTATACAGCTGTCAATATTTTACTTTTGTGTGCTTATTGTAAAAAATCACTAATACATCCTAATTTAGTGAAATTTAAAAAAAATAAATTGTAATTACTTACTTAATTATTGTCAAAATTTATTAATTATTAAATTTATAATTATTAAATTTATTTCTAAAATTTTTATAGTTGGCCCAATTTTATAATCGCAATTATTATATTCATAAGATATTTAATTATTTACGTTTTGTAAAAATTATATTTTTGCAAATTTATTTCATAAATATTTTTTATACTTTAGCAATACTTAAGTATAATTGAAGAAAATCAGAAAATCCTATTAAATTTGGGTTAACAAACATTTGGTCTTATTTTTTTTGTTGATTTTTTATTACCGGTACAAAATAAATTCTGCTTGCTACTTAATTTTATAATTTAGAATATACTTACTTATACTTATATGTACATATTTTATAAAATTATGTTTTTACTACACTTACTCTAACCGGTATTAATTTAAACTTATATATACTTAAGTAGGTAAAATAGAAATTAATAATTGTAACAAAATATAATGTAGGTACATTAACAGAAATAAAAAATATTAAACCCAAAAGGGAAGAAAACAATGGTATAAATGAATGATGTAATCAAGTAATTAAAATGAGTACATAAAAAATCATTATACTTATATATATATGAATTTAGGTATAAGTATGTTATCTATGTACTCAGTAAGAGGAACCTTTTGTAAGGTAAAAAAGAAACTTAAATAATAACTAGGGGTTAGGTAATTTACATTGTACTTACGTGCATACAAGTGGATATATATATACATGAGTATATATGTATGTAATATTTTTGATGTAACTAAGTAATAAAATAATATTTTGGTAGGTATTTAATTGTTTTAAGTACTTACAGTAAATAAGATAAAGTGAGGAATTTATAATAAGTTTTAGGTTATAAATTTAGTGCAATAAAAAAGTACCTATGTATATACTTATATGTATGTACTTTACCTGCAATAGTTACTCATTTTACTTTAATTGTAATAAATTGAAATAGAAAGGTCATTTACCTTAAAAAACTATAATGAATTTGAGTTTTTAATTGTTTTTTTCTTTAGGAATAAAAAGCAAAATTATAAAAATTTTCAAAAATTACCTAAAATACTTTAATAATTATTTTAGTAAGTACTTAGTTACTTATTTTATATTTAATGTAATAAGTAAGAATTGAGAGAAAATAAAAGTGATCATTTTATTTTTTCATTAATTAATAAATGTAACAAAATAGGTATTATATAAGTACTTAATTGTTATTTTAATATTTTTAATTATACTTAAGTATAAGTATTATAATTACTTAAATTTTGTATTGGTTAAGTTTTAAAGACAATTAAGTACAAATTATGTATTAACTTTTTTTATGGAACTTATAAGTAAGCAGCTGAGCAATAAGCATAGAGTTTATTAGTTATTTACTGTCTTTTACAATATGATATTTTTTGAATATTATGAAAGCAACTAGCAGACCAAGTAAGTAGGCAGCTTTATTACTTCTGTTTACAACCTTACATGAATAGGATGAATTACAGTTATTTTATACATATCCATATTTTATAATTGTACTTAAGTATTTAAAATTTTTTAACCTGTTGAGTCTATAAAGACATATTTACATTAACCTTAAAAAGTTTTTTTTAATAACAAATAACTTAATTTAATTAAAAATAACTTGTTCTTCTCATAAAATATTTTAACTTACTAATTTAATATTAATTCAAAATTCCATTTGTATTATGAATTTTGTATAATATGCTTATGCGTATACCTATACGTTTACCTATCTATATTTATATTGACCAAACCAACATCTTTTTGTTTTTGCAATCTTCAATTAAAATTAATTATGCTTTCTAAAATCCAAATTATTTATAATCGGAGGAATTAAGTCATAATTTTATTTTTTGCTCACTTATCTCTATAAGTAATTGTAGTATATAATGGTACAGGGTCTCTTATTGTAAAAAAATATTACGCTTGTTATAAAAAAAATTAACAATTCAGTGAAAAAATTAAAAGTGCGGTGAAAAGTAAATATCAGATTTTGTCTTTAGTTTAATCATAGTAAATCTGAAACTATTTAAGCACGCTATCCCAATTTATTATTAACCACAAAATTCTATTAACCGTTTTTATTACTTATTTAGAAGTTTTTTAGATTTCAAATGTTTTTTTTTAAATTTTCTTCTAAAAGATTGAAAATTAAAGATTATTTTATAAAAGACAAAGAGATTTAACGAATAAAATTTTAAGAAAAATGGGAATGTTTTCTTTAAATTTCATAACGAAGAAGAAAGAATAATTCTCGTTTTTCAAAGACAATGCCAATATTGTAATATTTTCGGTTATTATTTATCTAATATGAACTTTCCCTTGTAAGAAAAATTAAATATCCAATGTTTTTGTGGAAACAGGATGAGTCAAAGCTATTCAAAATGGTGAATCCTTAGTACAGAGGACTGATAAAAAAAGAAAGTTCTCGAATCCAAAAAAAGGTGTTCTAGGATCTGTTTTGAAAGATCTGATCACAAAATTTTCAAATGGCGTTACCTATAATGCCGAAATAGATGAAAATTTCCATAAGTAAGAATTTTTATACTTATGAAACCATTTATCACTTAAGTATCTTTATTAGGCAGTTTTTACTATAAGTAATTTCCGTCGTTCTCGTGGTACTTAATCTTCATTTATCAACAAAACTAAGGGTGAGTAGTAGAAAACTACAGATTTGCATACTTATGAAACCGAGTTGGTTCATTTAAGTTCTACACAATATGCATATCACACAATAAGTATCTATTTTTTTGAGGGATGCTGTACATTAAGCTCGATGTACACGTATATGTGATTAAAATTTGTGATTACATAGTATTAAAAAATTACATATCATTTTAAATAATTTTGTTTTGTGGTTGGTAAATTTCCTTTTATTTTATTTTTACGTATTTTTGGATCGTTTAATAGCATGCTATATTCAATGAACTTTAATAATAATAATCAACGAACATCCATAAGTATTCACATTCACTATAATATTATGTATTGAATATGTACCTACCTAATACATACGCCGCACAAAATATACAACAACGCTTTTATGTTATCAATTTATTGATAAATATTGGAAAATTCTATTTTAAATAATTATGTTATTATTATGTTAACCGGTTCAATGATTATATTTTTAATATTTGAATTATAAAATAAAATACCAAGTGTATAACTATAGATTTTTAGCTAAAAAATTGATAAAAATTAATATAAACAAAATAAAACATTAGAAAAATAAAACAAAATTATGAAAACAAGTAATAATCAGAATATTTTGTATACTTGTATAGGCATCGGAATACGTGTATGCATATATATATAAACGCACATACATATACTTAAATACATTTAAACTGCCCATATTAATTTATGAATTAATCAAGCAGAAAAACAGGTTGTTATTGTGTAGAGTTACTATTGTTATTTCCAGCTATGTTATCTGTTTATGTATTCATACTTATACAAACATATTCACTAATATGAAATATAGTTTTTGTTTGAAACTGGTAATACTGGTGAAAATATTAAAAAAAGAAACAACGGTTTATAAATTAGCAATCATCCGTGACATTTATATGACTTTTTTTTTGGGTTCAACCAAATTTTTATTTGAAATTGTTGATATTAAACATTTAAATCTTATTGTGATGAA